CTCCTCCTCTTCCAGGGCCGACCAGAAGCGTCCGCGCGCTTCCAGGCGCGCCCTCCGCCGGCCCTCCGCAGGCCCCCCTCGGCGGGCAGTGCTCACACATCACGTGGAAGCACCTCTCTTCCTTTCCTTTCCTCCTCCTCCACCTTTTCCTCTTTCCCCCTCCTCCTCCTCCTCCTCCTCCTCCTCCTCCTCCTCCTCCTCCTCCTCCTGCTGCTCCTCTTTTCCTCATCCGCAGGAGGAGGAGGCTGTTCTGTGCCGCTCCCCGCCCCTCTTTTCCTTTCCTCTCTGTTGGTCGGCACATCTTGGAGGTGGACGAATCGTCGCTCTGTAGCTCTAGACTCGGCTTCGTGGGGGGGGAGGGCTCGGCGCAGGCTCCGCTCTCTGTACCTCGGGCGCGCCACTGCCGTTTCTGAGGTGGCGCCTTCTCGCCCACCCCCGAAAGCCTCCGACGATCTGCTGGAACCCGCTCGATCGTCGGGCCCTCGCCCCGCTCCTCTCACTCGGGCCGCGCCGCCGCGGCGGCCGCGGTGAGCTGCTCCACGAAGTGGCGCACCGTGGGCAGCTCCTCCGGCACGACGCCGTGCACCGCCACGAAGGCCTCTGCGACCTCCTGCGGGTCGTCGACGAGGTTCCACTCGAGGTTCGCGTGGCGGCCGTCTCCGACGGCCACGGGCATGGAAATGTCGAAGCTGGCGGTGCTGCTGCCCTCCGTCGCGTCCGCGGCCGCCGCGACCAGAGCCGGGGGCTCCTGGGCGGCGCCCTCGGCGTCTGGCGCGGGCACCTTGTTGCACTTCGGCCCGTGCATCTTGCCGTCGCTCTGCTTGCACATGCCGCAGCAGTGGGTCTTGTGCCAGGTCACCTGGAAGCCGCAGCCACAAGCGCAGGCTACGCCGGTGCCCTCGCACTTGCTCTTGTCCTTGCCTTCCTTGCCCTTGCCCTTGCCATTGCTCCTGCTCTTGCCCCTGCCCTTGTCCGTGCCCTGCTCCGTGCTCGCCGGGCTGTCGCCATGCGTCGAGCCGGCCAGGGCTGGCGCCTCGCGCAGCTCGGCCTGGCTGTCGCAGTCTGTGGAGTTGGCTGGGGCAGCGCTGGGCGCTGGGGGCCCCTGGGCCGTGGCCTCGGCGTCTGCCACGGGCACCTTGTTGCACCTGTGCCCGTGCCCCTTTCCGTCGGAGCTCTTGCACATGTTGCAGCAGTGGGTCGCGTGCCAGGTCACCTGGAAGCCGCAGCCTGGGTTGGCGCAGGCCACGCCGGTGCCCTCACGCTTGTTCTTGTCCTTGCCTTTGCCCGTGTCCTTGTCCGCGGTCGCCTGGCCGTCGCCATCTGCGGGCACCTGGCTGTCGCAGTCCGTGGAGCTGGTCACGGCGGACGCCTCCACGGCGTGGCCGCCCTTGTGCTGTCCCTTGCCCTTGCACTTGCCGTGGCCCGTTCCGCACGCGGTGCTCGCGATCGTCTCGAACTCGTGGCCCGCGCACCTGCCGCCGCAGATGGAGTCCTTGTCCGCGAAGCAGCGAGCGCAGAGGTCGAAGTCGCCGATGGTCTTGCAGGAGAAGCGGGGCCCGCGGAGGGGCCCCTGGTCGCAGCCGTCGCAGATGTGCGCGCCGTGCTCCGCGGGCATGGGCGGCAGCATTGCCAGGAACGGCTGGGCCTTGTCGAGGAGGCAGTCGATGTGTTCCTGCTGGCTGGTGTACAGGGCCTCTAGGAAGGACACGCGGGCGCCGAACGTCAGCTCGCTCAGCGCCGTCAACAGCGCCAGGAGCGCCTCGCTGGCGGGGACGGCGTCGCCTGCTAGGGCGGCCTGCAGCTTCCCCGCGCTGTCCTCGAGGCCCTCGGTGCAGGCCGCGTGGTCCAGCAACGCCTGCATGACCTTCTGGGCGACCTCGGGCTTCGCGCCCGTGGCGCCGTCGATCACCTCGGGGTGCTCCGCCGCGAGGGCGATCAGGTCTCCCAGCGAGTTCGCGACCACCGCTGCGGCGCACCTGGCGTCCAGCATGCCGGCCGCGTGCAACTGCCGCAGGGCGCGCGCGAGCGTCCCCAGCTCGCCGCCCGCGTGGCCGCCGAGCTGCGTCTTGCCTTTGCCCTTGCCCTTGCCCTTGCCCTTGCCCTGGAACAAGCCCTCGAAATGTCGGGGGTTGCTAACGAGGTGCCCCTGGCCCAATGTGCCCCCAGCTTGTCGCTCCATCCTGGATCCCCCGGAGCCCCCTGGGCCTCGTGATGGGGGGCCCTGGAGGCCGTGGGGGCCTCCTCGGAACTCTTTGGGGCCCCTCGAACCGGGGGCACCTCTTGCACCACCCGGCCTTGAAGTGACCCTTCATCCCCTTCATGGCCCCCATGATGGCGGCCAGGGGGTGGGCGGCCGCACCGGCCGGGCCCTGCCCTCCCTGCTCCGCCTCCTGCGCAACCGCGGGGGCCGGGGCGGCCGGGAAAAGCTCCAGCCGGAGAACCGGCCTGCCGCCCGCGGCAGCGCCGCTCATGGCCAGGAAGTCCGAGAACGTGGCCGCGCAGAGCACGCAGAGGTCGCCCTCGTCGTCGAGGTACTTCGCGGTGGCCTCACCGGGGTAGATCTCGCGGATGGCCTCCGCGATGGCCTCGTACCTCACCTGCTGCTCCTGCAGCGGCACGCGGTGCACGGCGTCCTGGCACTTGATCTTGAGCGTGGCCGCGGTCGCCATCTCGAGATGTGTCGATCACGTGTATTGAATGGGGAATGTCCGGACAACGCCGTGTAAGCCCCGGGAGTTTTACACCTCCTCTCCACCCGACTCTGACGTTCGAGCCAAGCGTGGGCCAAACTGGCTATACGGATCTCCCCCCGCCCCTGCTCTTCGGAGCCCTCCAGGGCCCCGCTCCGTGTGTCAGGGCCGCGCCAGGGGAGACCTGCAGGCGGCAACATGCCCGCAGGGCCCGCCCCAGGAGGTCCCCAAGAGGGTCCCCGAAGCACTTGGAGAATTCGGCTGCCCTGGCTCTGGGGCTCCACTCTCCGCCCCGCTCAGCGCCCGACGCGGCCTCACGACTCCCCGAGACGCCCACGCGAGCTCCCACGGGTCTCCCCAAAAACCTGCACGTGCCTCGACCGGACCAGGTGCCCACCATTCCCAACATTGTACACTCTTCACCCGTAAAAGAGATCTGCCTACTGCTACACTGGAGCTCACAAAACCGCTTCGTGTTCTACGCCCTCTACCTGGTTACAACGACCACGTGCCCGAAACGTGGAGCGGCCGGGGGGCTTTCATTCCAATGTGTCATAATGTATTTGTGTACGTAGCGCCCTCACTGACATATTAGACAACGGCCGACTAGAACCTATACAGACACGAACGCTTCGGGATCACACGCGCAGCGTTAGAGATACTACATTCACGTTAAATTGCAACGCTCATAGTGAATTTCTTTTCTTCGTGTTCGCTGCGCTTCGGTGCGATCGCTATTTGCGTGACTTTACTGAGTCACCGCCCCGCAATTGCGGATAAGAGTGAAAGGGGGCATCGAGCGCTTTCGTGAACCCGACTTCCACGTACAAATCGCGGAATGATTCAACCCAGCCGTGCCATCCGCCGCGTCATGCTTTAGTGTTCCGTTTCAATTGGGAGGCCACGCCTGCTGCATACAGCCCGAGGCGGGGGGCCAATGCAGCCACACTGGTCTCCCTCCCTCCCCGTCGCTTCTTCCCCTCCCTGTCTGCCGCCTCCGCACTGCCCTGCTCAGTCAAAAAGTCGAGGGGGCGAGCAGTCTTACACTGTCCCTGGGTGCGTGGCTGAAGTGGGACTCTGCATTGCGGATCACAGTCGGGAGGCTCTGGGGCTGGGGCGCACGATGGATTCCCCAGGAGCAATGCAAAACAGCCCGCCAGAGGCGTCACATTTTGCCAAACCGATGCAGGTGGGTCGCGGGAACGTCGTTGAAGGGTCGTGCGGACTTCAAAGACAGCCCGCGGCAGGCGCCGATCTGTTCAAAACGATCTGGGTGGGTCGCGAGTAAGTTTGTGTTTGGGTCGCGGGTCGGGCCGCGGGTGGGTCGCGGGGTGCGTCGCGGGGTGCGTCGCGGGACGGGGCGTGGGTGGGTCGCGGGTCGGGGTCCTCAACAACAAAACAACAATTAAAAACCATAATTCGCATCGCGGAGCCCAACGTCAGTCACGAAGCCAAGGGCAGTGTAAGACAATCCTGTTCGGCCCCTTCCTTCGAATGTATTCAACAGCGTCTGCATGGAACTCGCTGTCAACTCGTGCAAACAAACTCCACATGCGAACACGAGTGAGCTTTCGGCGGGCAGTCTCTGACAAGCAAGGACGGCAAGGCGGACGTCACGACATGTGGATGCAGATGAACGTTGATGGATCGGGACGCGGAGACGGAGGAGGAGGATCATTAACATGAAGAGGCAACTGAGGAGAGAAGTGAGGAGGTGGTGAGGGGGAGCGGAGCCAAACGGCTGGGCTGCGCGGCGACCGCGAGGGTGCACCCGAGGCTGAAGTAGCTCCCGCCGGAGAGCTGGTCTTTCTCGCTGTCCCGCAGGATGGACTTGAGGGGCCAATGCCGCTGCACGAAGGGCACGTGCACGCGAGCCTCCAGACCCACCGATCCCAGGCCACAGGCGGAAGAGCTCGCCAAGGTCAGGGGGACGTAAGACCTGGGTACAGGGGACTCGGAAATCCCCGACGAGGTCGTCAAAAAAATGACGAGGCCGAACCTGCATTTTGACGAGGCCTCCCGCTGCAGACACCCCGCGAAACCCCTCCTCGTCAAAATCCGAGGCGCGGTCGTCAAAAAACGATGGCGAACCCGAGTCCTGGCAAACCCGGGTCTTACGCTCCCCCGACAGGGGGAGGCCGCACAGTGGCACCGCGTCCTGCACGGCCGGGCACTCTTGCCTACAGCGCACCGCCGCGGCGGCCCCTGCGACGCGCGGTGCCCCTGCGAGCGGAGGGCGGCTCGCCCTGCTCCGCGCGACGGGAGGCGGGGCGGAGCTGGGGACGCTGCCGCCCCCAGGCCCGGCACGTGGGGGGCAGCGCGTCGCGCCGAGGCGCGGTGGGCCAGAACCGGCGGCGCGACGCGCTAGCTCTCAGAGAAGCCCGCCCGTACCTCGCCTGTTTCCGACACTCGCGGGGCCTTCTTGGGGGGGAGCGAACAACGACGTAAGCATAAAAACTCGGAGGTCCGCGCGGATTTCTCGGATCGGCGCTGGACGCCCCTTGCGGCGCCTCCGGCGCCGCCCCTGGCGCGCTCCGCGCGCCAGAGAGGGGGGTCCAGCGCCTATCCGAGAAATCCGCGCGGACCTCCGAGTTTTTATGTGTATGTCATTGCTCGTTCCCCTATTCTTCCAGTTGCCCTCACTTCATTCACCCAGTCCATGGTCGCGAGCTGTTGCCGAGATCCCACTCCGCCCGATGCCACCGCTCCGCCTCCTCACGAGGCGCGAGTCTCGAGGGCCAGGGCGCGGTGAGTCGAAGTCCCCGCTTCCAGGGTGATTCGCATGCTAACGGGTGCCTCCTCAGCTGGAACAGCACATTCTGGCAAGATCTTGGCAGCTGCCTGGGGGTCCCCGGACAGTAGGCCCCACTCCAAAGGCACACAGCAACGGGCAGACTCGACTGTCACTCAGAAACACGCATTCTCTAGACCTCTGCGGGCTGGGCTTCTCCTCCTCCTCCGCCCTCCTCCTCCTCCTGCCTCCTCCGCGTCGTCGCTGTCGTCCACCTCCTCGTGCACTGCATTCTCTCCAGGCCCCTGGCTGGGCGGGAGGGAGCCGCAGTGGCGGAAGGAACCCCGAGGACCCGGAGTTCCAGGGGCACGACTGGATTCCGACTGCGGCGGAAGAAGGGGGGTAGGCTTCCGATTCTGTTTCCCCAGCGCTGCCCCCCGTTCCCCTCCGAGCTGTCCGACGTTTCCCCCGTAAGTTCCCCACTCGTGGAGCCTCCAGATCCATCCCGGTACCGCGCGACGACTTCGAGGCTTCCTGGGCGGTCGGCTGGAGAGAGATGCGCCGAGCAGGGCGAGATCGGCAGCCCGCCTGGGCCTGCCCTTCGCTGGGGCCTCTCGAGGTCGACGAGACCGGGCGACGAGGACGCGGATCCCGACAAGCTCGATGGCTCGCGCTGGCTTCTGACACCGCGTGGGTCGTTCAACCTGGAACGATCGGCGGCGCCTCGATCGACAGATCACCCCTATATTGGGCGATTCTGGGCCACTGGCGGCGATCATTCCTGAACGCCCGCGCTGGGAACCTGCAGTAGGCCAGTGGGCGGCAGAAGGAACCCCGAGGACTATCTGAGCTCCAGGGGCACGAAGATCTCGAGACCCTCTTATCGATTCATGCTTTCCCATCGCATTTCAAGACCACATCCCAAAGATGATTTCCATCACCCGGAAAAGTGTCGGAAGAGTGTCGAAACAGTGTCCAGGGCCAGACGCGCGAAAACCCTCGAGTTTCGGTACTTTTCTGGCGTTCGAGATTCTCTCTGGTGATCCAGGCTAAAGTGAGTTGGAACATCATAACTGTAGATGCGTGGCCGACTTCGGAACCCCCGAACCCAACAATCCTGACATCTCTTGTAGGACGAGGAGAATCTATTGACACAGCGTGCTATTGATACGTTCTGGAGATTCCGGGACTTCTAACAACCTTCGTGCGGGGTACACGTTGCGTAGAGTATTGTCTACTCTGGCTGGCGCCGCTGGTCGGTCACCCATTCGCAATCGAGCGGTCGCCCGTAAGAGGCTATTTGGCACTTGCTGACCCCCTTTCTCGTTGCCGAACGCGGGGGGGACGGTGGCGCGCCGTCCCGTCGCCCGCCGCGGCGCACCGCGCGCCTCGGCGGATCCCAAAGACCCGGCAAGGCAAATCACGCGCGACTCTGGACAATTCTCAGGGGTAAAACTTGATCAAACCCGGAAGCGTTTTTGAACGTGTCCGGCCTACGTTTTGAAAAATACCAGAATCGTTTTTGAAAATTTCCGGGATCATATATATATATATATATATATATGTATATATGTATATATATATATATATATATATATATATATATATATATATATATATATATTTTTGTTTTAAAAAATAAAAGCAAATCCAGAATCCATTTGGAAAAATTCCGGATTTTAGAATTCTTCAGATGTCCTGCGCGGCGGGCGCATTCCACCCCTCAAAACTGTGTTTTGAAAATTTCCGGGCTCCTTTTTGAAAAATTCCTAAACCGCTTGCGCAACAAAAAAAGCGGAAGCGTTTTCTGACACATTCTACAATCCAGAAATGATGTCCGAGCGGTCCGACGGGCGCGGCCTGCTGATTCACGCGCCGCGCCGCGCGCGATTGGGCGCAGCGCGCGCCGCGCGTTGCGCCCGCGAACAGCACTCGAAGGGGCTACCTCGAAAACAGCGCCACGGCAGCTGCGACTCGCGGACCCCCCACGAGCAACACAGCATGCAGCCTGGAATCTTCGAGGGCGCTCCGATGCGCGAAAAGTGTACCACGAACATCACGCAAATAACCTGCGCGACGGAATGCGCTCGACCATTCGTCCCTGGAGCCCGCGCGGGAGAGCAGGAAAACCTGAAAATCTGGAAAACTATCAATATCAACTTCATGCTCCTCTGATCTTGGGAAATAAACATTTTTGCATTCGCCCGCCTTCCGCCGGCTTCCTCCGGCGCAGGCGGCCCCGTTGTACCTCCGCCGCCCTTCCGCCGCGGAAGATGTGCCCACTCATGCGATCCTCGAATTAAGTCGGGCGGCCCCCCCCCACAGGGGATTTTTACATTTCTTTTTGGGTTTCATCAAATAAACAATTATTTTCATATAGTTTAAAGATAGCCAAACATGGTCAAACAATCGTCCCCAGACTATGTTTTGACTATTTTTGAATACTCCTCCTGTAGAGGGACACGCCCGACTTAATCCTGGAAGGCAGCGACCTTTCTGGAACGCCTCTTTTGAAGAACGAACCGAAACATAGACATAAACTTTTGGCGCTCCGTGCGGATTTCTTGGATCTGCGCTGGACCGCGCGCCAGGGGCGGCGCCAGAGGCGCCGCTGGGGGGCCCCAGCGCGGATCCAAGAAATCCGTGCGAGGCGCCTAAACTTTCTGTCTATGGCGTTTTTTTCTTCATCGACTCATATGATCGGTGATGCATCGGCGATGCACCAGCGATGCATCGTCGACGTGAGCGATGCATCGGCGACGTCGACGTGAAGGAAAGAGGGCTCCACATCGAGCCGCGTCGGCGATGCATCGGCGATGCGGCGCGACCCTCCGACCCCATCTACTCCGACCCCATCTGGGAGTCTAGGAGGCCTAGACGAAGGTCGGGCATGTCCCCCTGCAGGCGGATTTTTTGACGAACAATGAAAACATGTGACATATTCAAAGATACTATTAAAAAAGGCCCCAAGCTAATTGTTTTGACTATGTTTTACTATTCCTCCAGTAGAGGGACACCACCGACTTATCCGTACGAACGAAATGGGTACGGAAAGAATGGGTACAATGCCCAACAGCAGTTCCTGTTCATGTTGAACATGACTCACTGTCCGCGCCGCCGCGGCCTGTCTCCAGCTGAGACAGAAGGCCGCCTGCCCAACAGCGGCCGCTGTTGGTTTGGGACACCATTTGCTGTTGGGCATTGTGCCCATCTTTTCCGTACCCACTTCGGGCGTCCAAAACTGAAGGGAAACTGGGACACACAAATAAATACACACAAATAAAATTATTCCCCATATTTTCCCATATTTTCTGGGTTTTTGTCTTCCCCCCCATTTCCCATACTTTCCCATATTTTCTGGGGATCGCAGATTCATTGTGTCTGTGTGTTTTTTCCCCTCCTGAAAAACCTGAGCCTAGACGGAGCACAGCAGGCGTTCAACGCCTGCTGTGCTTCGGAGGTGGCCTTCGAGGCGTCCGCGGCCGGGGAGGCGCCGGGCCAAAGGCGAGCGGCGGCCCGCCCGCCTCGGCACTCCGCGGGGGGCGCCCTCGAAGCCGACGCGGGGGTCGCGCGAGGAGGGCGCTGCCGAGGCCTGGCCGGAGCCCGGGGCCGTGCTGTGCCACGAGGCCTACAGCTATGTCGGGCGTGTCCGCCCACAGAGGGATTTCCGACGAAAATTTGTTAAAACAAAAACCCAAACATACCCCCCAAAGGTCAAAAGATACTCCCAAAGTAGTCTCCAAGCTATTTTGGACTATTTTTTGACTACTTTTGGTGTATTTTTTTGTCGTCGAACATCCCCCTGTAAGGGGACAGGCCCGACATAAGCCTACAGGCCTCCTGGCCTCCTAAACGGTGTCTGAGTACAGTCAGCCCAGACAGTAAGGATGCGCGAGAAGGATGCAGGGGCCTCGGGCGCCCACTTCGAAGCGTCTCGAGCGGGTTTCGCGGCCAGCGAAAGCGTCCAGGGATGGACCCGGGAGGCAAGGATGCAAGGGTACCCTTGGGAGGGATGCCTATCCGTACTATGCAGGTCGACTGTAGATGGGGTCGGAGGATCCTGCCGCATCGCCGATGCATCGGCGATGCATCGCCGGTGCATCGGCGAGTCGTCGGCGATGCATCGGCGACGTCGGCGGTGCATCGGCGCCGCCGGCGCGGAGGAGATGGGGCTCCACATCGAGCCGCATCGGCGACGCATCGGCGATGCGGCGCGATCCTCCGACCCCATCTCCTCGGACCCCATCCAGGAGGCCTGGAGCTGTGCCGCCAAGCTGCAGCGCGGAGCCAAGCGAGTCTGGCTTAGAATCGGCGGCGAGCGAGGGGTGGAACAGAAGCGTGGGTCACGAATTCAGTGCGTTGTTCGGGTTAGGTGTTGTATCATGTTCAATGGGCAGTGCCACGCGAGCGAGGTGCCGAGAGGCAGAACAACACCTTGCTGCGCGGGTCACGACAAGCGACATCAGCCGTGGTTCCCGAAGTGGCGGTGCGGTGTCGGCATGGTTCCCAGGCTGGTCAGTTGCGATGGACCGCCTGGGGCCAGCGCCCCAGCGTCAGCGGGGGGACGGCAATACAAACGGCGACGGATCTGACAAAGAAATGGCAAAGCGAAACCAATAAAACAACGGCCCTGTCGTTTCCAGGGTCGGGGATCTTCTGACCCGAGCTAATCCAGACCCGGGTCAGCAGGAAACCAAAAAACTGCAGTGCAGGAAAACAAAAACCTGCAACACAGGTCTTCGCAGACCCGGGCCAGCCGATGTGCGCGGCCGCCCCGCGGTCACGAGCGCCTCGCCAACCCGGGTCCGCCAGAGGGGGTCTTCGCAGGATCCTGCAGGATCCGGTGCCCTGGCGCACCCCCGTTTGCACTGACCCCCGTCTCTTATAGGCCCCGAACCCTGACCTTCCAGAGAGCTATTGTTTAGCACTGGAGGCCTAAAGACCTAAAACAACGAAGCGAATCATCCTGAAACCAAGACGTAGAATAGCCCTGGGATAGGCTTCTAAGTCGCGTGCTACAGTCATCGGCCTGACCTAAGGAACGATAAATCAGGAACGAAGCCCCTTTTCTCCAGGGAATAATGCATGAGGAACGATAGATAATACATAATGCAGAAGGAACGATAAGTGGAACGACCGAGCCCCTTTTGAAAAGTAAGCGTTCCTTATTCAAGCCGCTCACTGTATTTTTCAGCCCTCCTGGGAGGCCAAGGAAGGGCCCTCTAAGATTCGAGCGCCGGGTGTCCGCCCTGCGCGGGCCGGGCTCGGGGCCCAAGAGTGGTGCCGACTCTGGCGGGCGGGAGGTCACGAGCGCGAGTGCCGTTGGGGGGCCCGTGCCCTCCAGGGTGCCCCGGGCTTTTCGTGGGCTTCGACGGCTTTGCGGTGGAAAAAGCGCGACGCGTAAGTCGGGCCTGTCCCCCTACAGGGGGATTCTCGATGACAAATAAAAAATACCCAACAATAATAAAGAAATAGTCCAACAATAGTCAGGGGAGTATTTTTTGGAATATTTTTTGACCTTTTTGGAATATTTTTGGAGTAGTTTTCATTTTTCGCCGAAAATCCCCCCGTGGGGGGACACGCCCGACTCAACGCGACGCTCCCGCACCAAAAATCCATGGACGTCCGGGGGTCTCAAGGTTGGGCTTTTGTGCAAGGTTTCTTGTCTAGGGCTCCCAACTTCGCGCTTCGCGCTGCGCGCTGCGCGAAGCGCGAATAACTTCGCGCTCTCGCGCCGCCCCCCCAAAGGGAGAATAGGAGGACGAGGAGGAGGAGGAGAAGGATCGAGGACCGCGAAGCGCGAATAACTTCGCGCCCTCGGGGGAGCCCTTGCTTGTGGACTGGCCTGCACTGTAGTGCCGATTCCGGCGGGCGGCAGGGGGCAGGCGCGAGCCTGGACTTCGACCAGGTCAGCGGCACCTGCCCGCCGCCGAGTTTAAAGGGAAATTAGGACACACAAATAAATACACACAAATAAAAATAGTCCCCATATTTTCCCATATTTTCTGGGTTTTTGTCTTCCCCCCCAATTCCCCTATTTTCCCATATTTTCCTGGGAATCGAGGATTAATTGTGTCTGTGTGTTTTTTTCCCTCCTGAGAGTTGTCCGCCGAGCACCACGTCGGCGAGATCTCGCGCCGCTTGCGGGGCCAAGGAGGGCTGCAGGCGGAGGCATGACACACCCCTCGACGAGGGAGATGACGTGCGCGCTGGGGCGCCCGGAGGAGGTCTGGGTCCCGTGGCGCGGGAGCTTCGACGATGAGCGATGAACTCGGGCAGGCGCTGGCGCCGGGCCCCGACGAACCCGACCTCGCCTACGACGAGCTGCTTGCCCAGGTCGCCGAACTCTGGGACGTGCGGGGCTTGGCAGGTGGGCCTTCCGCCAGGAGCTGGTGGGCGAAGCCTGCTTCCTGGCCGGGCGGGCGGGAATGGGGGGTGACCCACCTGGGGGGAGTAAAGACAAGGGCCCTCACGGGGCCCCTTTTTTTGTCCCGCGGTGCCCCGTGCCAGGCCAGCGCCCTCGCAACCGACCCGAAACGCAGCAAGAGTGGCGCCTGCCCGACCGAACCCCTCCTCAGGGCGAGCGGCCGCATGCTTGGACAGGAGCAGCGCCTGGACCACGGTCGGCGGCGCAGGAGGAGGTCTTCCTGCTCCCACGCCGCCCCGGGTCGGGCCGAGCGCGGCACGAAACCAGCAACTAGAGAAGAACACTCCGTCCGTGCTAGTTTCACGACGCGAGGGGGCCGGGGGAGGCAGCATCAGGCTCAGGCCGCCACGCACTCGAGCGCCGCCATCACTGGGGCCAGCGACGCGGCGATCCATCCCAGGCCGAACGGGCCACAGCTTCCGACGACGTCCCCCATATCGTCGTCGTCGTCGTCGTCGTCCTCGTCGTCGTCCGCTCCAGGGGCGTACTCGCCCGTGCACTCCGCTTCGAGCATGGCGACCGCGTCCCCCGAGATGCTGACGTTCATCTCCTCGAGAATGGCGCCGCAGTCCGTCGCATACTCGTCGGCGCAGAGGACGAAAGTGTAAAAGGGGCACATGGAATCTTTGTCGAAATTGCCCTCGTCGGCCCCAGTTGTGCCAGTGCCATCTGCCAAAGTGGTTGTGCCCACCATCCCAGATCCGCTGTCCTCGTCACTGGACTCCATGCTGTCCATAAGTTTGGCCCACGCAGTCTTGCCGCCAGGGCACGTGTCACAGATGCACTTCAGCTTGGAGGCCATCATGATAAAGCCCTCTGCTTCCGAGGAGTTGCTGCACGTGGACAGCTCGTCTACGAAGCACTGAACTGCACTCTCGTGGTCACAGTAGAGGTCCATGATCAGCTCCTGCGCCTGGTATTCATTCTCAGGCACTGCAAACGCGTTATACGCAGCCACCATATCTGAGAGTCCTGGGCACACGCCCAGGCATTCGTCCGTGATGGGGGGCTCGTCGTCGCCCGACAGCCGCCGGTGGGCCTTCCCCCCCCAAGCGAGGCGCCCGTGCGGCGCCGAAGCGCCCACACCCAGGAGGGAGGCGGCGACCAACAGCAGGAAGCCGGCCTTCGCCATGGCGGGAGGTGCCCGGGGTGACGGCTCTCTGCGCGCACGATCGCTCACGGTGGTCGCGAACAAGGCCGGACCAGCTGGAGCCAAAAGGGCTACGGAGGCCCTAAAAAGGGGCCCCTTAGGGCTCCTTTTGGAGCCAGTTGGTGCCCCAAGGGGCCCTAGAAAGGGCTCCTTTTTGGGCCCTTTTCTTCACCCGCCCGCCCGATCTGGTCCACGCCAGAATCGCCCTGGCAACTGCAGCGCCTCAAGGGGGACGAGAGGCCCACCACGCCGCAGTGTATCGCACCGCGCTGCCAAGACTCTCGTAGCAATGCATCGCACCGCACTTGGTGCGGCAGTCTGGAGCGGCTTGGAGGCTGCTCGAGGGCCTTCCCCGGAGAGGCGAGCCTGGGGCAGGGAGGCACGCAAGCCCTGTGTGGCTTCGGCGTTTCCCCTTCCGCGAAAGTTCCGGAGGGCTCCTCGGAAGCCTGGAGGCTGCTCGAGGGCCTTCCCTGGAGAGGCGAGCCTGGGGCAGGGAGGCACGCACACCCTGTGTGGCTTCGGCGTTTCCCCTTCCGCGAAAGTGCCAGGAGGGCTCCTCGGAAGCCTGGAGGCTGCTCGAGGGCCTTCCCCAGAGAGGCGAGCGCCCGGGGCAAGAAGAGGCAGGCAGGCCCCGTGGGGGCCTCGGCGCTTCTCCTTCTGTGGGCGTGTGCCGGAGGGCTCCTCGGGAGCCTCTGGCGGGCTTCCTGGGTCTCGTTTGGGGTCGGGCATGTCCTCCTACTGGCGGATCTCGAAAGACAAACAAGGCGTAGCCGAGCAAGACGCAAAGATAGCCGAAACATGATAGCAAAATCGTCCCAACGATTTTTGGACTGTGTTTGAACATCCCGCCTGTAGGGGGACATGCCCGACTCAAGACTCGTTGGTGTCCTGCCCGGGGCCCGTCGGGCCCCCTGGGGAGGGCGCAAGAGAGCATCGAGGCAGCTGGTGGGGCTGTCTTGAGCCGCGTCGTGACCCGTCGGCGCGGGGGTCGTGAGGCGGACATCGGGCGAGTGCGGGGGGGGGAGGAGGAGGAGGAGGAGGAGGAGGAGGAGGAGGAGAGGAGGAGGAGGAGGAGGAGGAGGAGGAGGAGGAGGAGGAGGAGGAGGAGGAGGAGGAGGAGGAGGAGGAGGAGGAGGAGGAGGAGGAGGAGGAGGGGGATGCCTGCGGGTATCGCCTGGTGGCCGTCCTGGAAACCTGGGAGCACAAAAAGAGAGGGCCACACAGCACGCGGACAATTCAGATGCCAGCCATGTCCGCATCCTTTGCCATATATGATCGCATCACGTGTCTAGCCCCGACATCATCTCTTTCTTCCCCCGCCCTCGTCGCCGTCTGCCTCCTCGAACAAGTTCTAACAACCCTCTGGTTCTGGCCATCTCAAGCAGCTGTGACATGATCAGTTCATGTCCTCTGGTTAGAAGGACAACACATACGTATTTCCCTATGCGTTCAGATGCAGTTACTAATCCGATCGCCCATCGTCGGTTGTAATGGTTCTGCCCTCGATGCGATACGACCTGCCCCATGAAGTCAGAAACTCCGCCTCCTCTTCCTCCTACTCATCACAAGACATCAACCACAATGGCAATCATAACCGTCACCGCGTTCATCTTCGAAAGCTTCTCGTGAGAATGGTCGTGGCCATCGCCATTATCATCCTCGTCGACTGCTTCGGCTCCCGAGGTTGCCCCCCGGAGCGCCAGGTCGCAAGTCCAGCCCACCACCGTGATGCTCCAGACAATCCTGGCGCCCCGTCGCGCTCTGCAGCCGCATGGCACTTCGTGGGCTGAGGAAAGCCAGCGAGGGCCCCTCCCTGTGGGAGGGGAGGAGGGGAGGAGGAAGTGGCGGAAGAGAGGGGTGGCGAGGGCACGAGAGGGGGGAACGGGCCTGGATGGGGGTTGAGGAGTGAAAGGGCCCAGCGACAAATAAATAAATACAGATCCCAAGATCTCCCATACTTTGTCATGTTTTCTGGAGTTTCGTCTTCCCCCTCACTTCCTATGTTTTCCCCCTCCTTCCCGAGGAATCGACCTTTCTTTGTGTCTGTGTTCGGCTAGACGTAAGAGTGACCCTGGGTAAGAGTGACCTTTGGTGCGCAGCTTTTGGGGGCGCGAGGGAGCCAAACCCGAGGGCGTGGGCCGCTGATCTCGCATCGTGCTCGGCGATCGGGGGGAGCCCGATGAGCCCGCACCAAAGGTCACTCCGGCGAAGGGTCACTCCTACGTGTAGCCGATGTGTTTCCTCCCCCCTCCTGCAGGAGCCACGGAGGCAGAGGACGAGGAGGTGCGAAGGGCGACGAGGGGCACGACGGGGGGGAGGAGGAGCGGTGGAGGAGGACTCGAGCCGGGGGAGGGCCAGCCTCGACCAACCACAGCTCGGACCGGGCGAAAGGGGGGGATGGCAACCCTGACCGTCCAGAGAACTATTTTTCAGCACGGGAAGCCTAGAAACCTAAAACAACGAAACGGAACAGCCTGAAACTAAGACATAGAATAGCTCTGGGATAGGTTTTTAAGTCGCGTGCTGTTTTTTAGCCCTCCTGGAAGGCCAGGGAAAAAGGGGGGTGAGAATCAGCCCGCGCAGCTGATTTTCCTGGCGCCTCCCGGCGCCGGGAGGCGCCCATGATATCGAGGAGTGGGCCCCTCGGTGGGGCCGAAACCAGCTGCACGGCGGCAGATTTCGTACCCCCGCCCCCTTTCCCAATCCCCCCCTTTCGTTCGGCCCAGACGAGGGGCACGGGGGGAGGAGGAGCGGTGGGAAGACTCGAGCCTTATATTGCTCCCATCGTACTTCCGGACCACATCCCAGAAATGCTTTCGAGCGCCCAGGCAAGTGCCGAAAGAGTGTCGGCACAGTGTCGGACGAGTGCCTCCCAGGGCCCGACGCGCGAAAGCCCTCGAGTTTGGGGGTACCTGTCTCTGGTGCTCGAAATTCGTCCTGGTGGTCGAGGCTCAAGCAAGTTGGAGCATCATAACTCGAGCCGGGGGCGGGGCAACCTCGACTCTTGAGCAGGGACCGACCATCCCGGCATTCCTGTAGTCCTACCACGACATATTCTTAGAACCCAAAGGTATGCTAAGAACAAGAACAATGCTCTTAGAACATAAGCCCGATATGTTAAAACAAGACAATCTCAACCAGACATGTCCCGAGAACAGTTCGTGGAAACCACAAACGGTTCTTGGAACACCTTTTATGGGGGACACGCCCGACATAACCCCAGACCCCAGGGCTTTCCCCCAGGACCAGTTCTTCATCCCGACTTGTTTCCTGACAGCCCCGGCGAAGACGGCTCCGAGAACGCCCGAACACAGCGGAGACCTCGCGGCGCGCTTTTCCCCTCAGGACTCGTTTTTCGTCCATGGCGACGCTGTGGAGGCCTCGTAGATGGTGCCCGTTTAGATGGGGTCGGAAGGGTCGAGGAGGAGGAGGAGGAGGAGGAGGAGGAGGGAGGAGGAGGAGGAGGAGGAGGGGGAGGAGGCGGGGCGGCCGCGGCGAGCTCTCCGAGGCGGGCGCGCGGCGCCCGAGGGCGGCGGCCACGGCCGGGACAGCGGCCACCCCCCAAGCCCCATCGGGGGGGATAGCAACCCTTCCTCCTCCTCCTCCGCCTCCTCCTCCTCCCCTTCCTCCTCCTCCTCCTCCTCCTCCTCCTGCTCCTCCTCCTCCTCCTCCTCCTCCTCCTCCTCCTCCTCCGGCAGCGGAACCCCCCTGCGGGGCAGCCCACAGGGCGTGAGATCGGGGGCGTCCAGGAGGGGGGGGCGATGACTGGGCCCTGACCTTCCAGAGAGCTATTCTTTAGCACGGGAGGCCTAAAAACCAAAAAACAACGAAACGAGACAGCCTAAGACCAAGACGCAGAATAGCTCTGGGGCAGGTTTTCGAGTCGGGTGCCATTTTGTAGCCCTCCTGGAAGGTCAGGGATATCGTGGATGGACAGAACTCCCTTCAGTAAAACGTGGTTCAGTGCGAACGACCTCGGGTCCAAACCTGGCGGGTGCAAGCCTGGAGAATGACGCAAGCCTGCAATCGGGGGGGGGACATACACACGTCGTTCCTTTCTGATCGTGCTCACTTCAAATTGTGCTCATTTCTAATTGTTCCTGGCTCCCTGGTGGCCAGGAAGAGGCCCAGGAGAGAAGAAGAACTCTCGAATAATTAGGAACGGGCAACGTGTAGTCGGACTTCATTGGACAGGACACGCGAGAGGACAAAAGACCCTTCCGAGGGCCACATTGCCATGGGAATGCAGGAGGCACGGGCCGAGAGGCACAGGACACAAGGGTACCCTTGATTTGGCAGGGTCGACCTACTAATCAGGGCCGACTGTATCGGGGGCGCGCAAATATGGATTGGCGATCCATGGATTTGGCGCGCGGTCGCCAAATCCATGGATTGGGGGAGCGCCCTCCCACAAAAATCGGCATGGCCGCTTCGTTCGGCGGCGGGAATCCGCGACTTCCCTTGGAAACGGGGCCAGTCGCTAATCCACGCCCCCTTGATCCATGTTTGCCCTCGCCTGAACAGAGGTCGGGTTGGGGCACAAGTGGGCTTGGAGGGAAAAACGCTCCAAACGGCTCCGGGTGGAAGAAGGCACCGCGTTCCACCTCGGGATAACCCTCCCCTTGCCGTCGCTCGGACGTCCATTTCCCGTGCATTTTTCGGTTTCGTGCGTGTTTTTTTGCTCGATGATCCAGGATGGTCCTCGATGGTCCTCACCGAGAAAAATGCACACGTCCGAGCGATGCCAAGTCCCTCTGCGACCCCCCCCACCCCAGATGTCCGACGACACGTTTCTTCAAGCGGCGGTGCTTGATCGATCTGCCGCCCGCGCGCGTCCACCCTGCCGCCTCGGAGGACAACATCGGACGAGGACCTCTCGGGAATCTCCGTCATCAAAAGCGGCTCGAGAGGACGTGTCGGACGCCGAGGCCTTCTCAGAGCATTCCGGACCGCTCGGGGAGCGTTCCGGAACGCTCTGGCACGGATTCGTCCTCGTCCTGGCCCCGTCCGGTTGGGGCCCACTCGGAGGGCTGCCGCGGATTGATGCCGCGCTGGGTCCGTGCAACGTTTCAGGGGCAGCTGGGACGTTCCAGAACGCTCTGGAGCGGAGATGTCCTCGTCCCAGCCCCGGCTTGACCAGGCATAGTCAGGTCTTGCGCTGACACAGCTCTTGACCCCCATCTCCCTGGATCCAAGGCCACGCTGACGGCGATGTTGGGAATCTGTGTTCTGCAGCGCCGAGCTCGCGGAAAACGAGACACGTCCCCTTTTTTCAAACACGCGAACGTATCGAGCAAAGATGATACGGAAAATAATCTACCCGTCGGTCGGAAGAAATAGATAGAAACATGAAGTAGGAAAGCGCTGGAAGCAGATTAGGCTTTCGCCCGCCCCCTGAGGACGAGGGCAGAAGGGAATACCGCGCGACTCTTGAAGTAGGAAGGCGCCTAAAGTAGATGGGGATTCGGGCACCACAAAATACATACTTTCAACGGCCAGCGTGTTGCGCTGACCCAGTTATTGACCCCATCTCCCCGGATAATACAGTGCAACCGCGGCCGCAAGACACCCTCGCACAATAAACCCAGACCTCTAACTCCGCGCGCGTGGTGCAACGGGGTGGACACCTGGGGCGCCCCGAATGCAACAGTGTCTTCATGCCCACGAGAAGTAATCGCGCAGCGCGCGAGGCGAAAGAAAACCCGAGGTACACTGATGAAGCGTCTAGGGCTTCTTGACGCGAATCCCCACTGCATGCTTCACTACCAGAAGCTCGAACAACTCGTATATGCCCATTGAATTATCTCTCTATCCCGGCCAACTCATCTCATTGATAATGCTCACAATCAGGCATGGCTCATTATAGATGTGGCCATACCCTTCTCTTCACCACAACTCCTAACCGCGCGTTCTCGCATACTCAACTAGTGGCACCAGCGGGAGAACGGGTAAACTGCGGTCCAAATGCGGTCGACATGCAGGGAAACGGATCTCAGTGTCGCCGCCCAAAGCTCCCATGATCAGACGCCGAACGCATCGAATTACCACGCACTCGGGACTAGAAGCTATAAGCGGACGGAGCAGGTGTTCAGACCGAGCCACCACCGTGCCTCGAGCACACCAGGGCGTGACGTGATGTCCATCAGCAACCCGGTGGGAATTTGGAAGCTCTTCGAGGGCGAACCCCCTTGGCGCGCTCCGCAGAACATCGCACCCCAACGGCTCGCGCTCCGACGCTTCTCCCGGCCCCCGAGGCGGCCAGGGAGCCGCGCCCAGACGGCTGCAGGATGCTCCAAGACCAGCTCAAGACGGGCCATGGACCCCTCGCAGGACCCACGATTTCACCAAGAAGCCTGACGCTGCCTCGAGGTGCTCTCGTGAGCCCCAAGGGAACTCACCTGACCGATCCGTGGGACTATGTGGACCAGTCCGCGCTGCTCCCCGAGGGAATTCCTCACTTCGGCGTAGAATACATGGGATTGTCAGATCTTCGATGTACTTGATCCAATAAGGTTGTGGATGCCACGACAATGGATACCCTAACAGTCCTATCATCGAATTAATAATGTGTTTCAAATGTCGGAAACATGTCCCGAACATGGTTAAAACATGTTTTCTACATTTTTAAAGCCAACTTTAACACATGTTTCAAACATCTGGAAATGATTTGGCAACATGCTTCCTCTCCATTGATCGTCCTTCACAACAATAAGGCCCCTTGATGGCCCAGAAGCACTCGGAGATGGCCCACGACCGACTGCCGGAAGACCGTCCCAAGAAGCCCCCGGTGGGGCCCCAAAGCAACCCGAGGAGCACACGGGACGACGCGAGAGGCCGCCCCGAGCCTGCATCGGGTCGCATGGCCCAAGGCCCGCCCAGACCGCCCCAAGAACACACAACGTATGGTTACACAGTCAATCCGTATCATACGGGTGTGCGGTAAGGATGCACGGGCCTTGGAGGCCCATGTGAACGCTTTTCGAACGAGGCTGGCCAGCGAAAGTTGCTGAGGATGGGCCGACGGGGCAAGGATGCAAGAGCAGCCTTGAGAAGCGGGCTGACTGCACCGAATCTCCCAAAGAACACGCGGTGTATCCACTCGCCATCGCTCGGACGTCCATTCCCCGTGCCTTTTTCGGGGTCGCGCGTTTTTTTTGTTTTTCCGATTTCTTTGCTGTTTTTTGCAAGAGGATCCAGGATGCTCCTCGATAGTCCTCGCCGAAAGCAAATTCACACGTCCGAGCGATGCCGAATCCACTCACGAACGGCGAACGTATCCGTATCCGCGCCCTCGCGGACTGAATTCCGGGGCGCAACCCCGTGGATACGCGGTCGAACGGATACGTTCCACGCGGGGGTCGCGTGCGAAAACACGCCCCGTATCTGCGCTGTCGCGTCCCACGGGCCTGGCCCGCGACGCCGCGGATACGGATATGTTTTCTGCTCACGAACCATCACGCCCAAGCGCGAGAACGCCTCGGGGTAACAGAACTCAGTGATGAACGTCGGTTCTGCCAAATCCACAGTGTGCTGTCATGGACATCCGCGCGTGCACACAAATGCCGCACCCAGATAAGAGGCTTAATACCCTCGACTCGCGAGTCTCGTGTGACTGGCTGGTCCCCCCCCTCTCTCCCTGCCTCCAACCTCCTCGCCTCCACTTCCCCCTTCTCCTTCCCCCTTCCGGCTCTCACTCCTCTTCCTCTTCGTCTGAACCCTTGAACGCTTTCGCATCTTTTGCGCCGACCGATTCTTTATGGCGCTGACGCCAGACACATCGACCAAAATGCAGACCCAAATCGACCAAAATCAACCAAACTCGACCAACATCGACCAAAATCGACCAAAAGTATTCTTTATGGCCTCACTATCGACCAAATGCAGATCTCCTCCTCGTCGTCCAGCGTCTCTCGCTCCACCCGTGTTGACCCGTGGCCGGCAAACTACAACCGTCCGAGGTGTAAAATCCTTACCCTCCCCTGGGGGGTTAGACGCAATGTTGGGATATTTGTTGATTAGCTGTGTCTTGAAATGATTCCGCAACAACTTTATGCTTTAATGGTTTCGACATGCGCGCGCGGCGGCGCGCGCATGTGAACCGAATTGTTTTTTTGTTACACGGAATGGGTGCCGTCTTCTTTAACTACTGAATAGGGGGCGTAGTTTTCTTCAACAAATGTCGGCGGTGGACAAACCTCCCTTTAATAAACCACCCGTTAACGAAAACGGCCTAGAACCAAAACCGACGGACCTGGACCCGCAATAATGACGGCCGCGACGCCATCTCGCGAACAGAAAACGGCCAATCCGCTCATCGACGTGTCAAGGTAAGAGGTCTAGCAACGAAGACTCTGTGCCTCGGAAGCGATGCCGTGCCTCCCCCCTGTAGACCCTGACCTTTTAGCACGGGAGGCCTCAAGACCTAAGACAACGAAACGAAACAGCCTGAAACCAAGACATAGAATAGCTCCGGGATAGGTTTTCAAGTCGCGTGCTATTTTTTTGCCCTCCTGGAAGGCCAGGGGAGGCACAGGCCCGACTTCAGCGGAGCGGGAGGGACGCGGGCACGGGCGGGCGGGCGGACACCCACCGAGCCAGACGGCGCACCGCGGAGGGCACGGAGGAGGGAGCGCGGAAGGGGGCCGCGTGCGAGGGCACCGGGCAGGCAGGCCCGGTGCGCAGGGGGCGGGGGCAGCAGCTGCGCGGTGCCACGCGCGCCCACCTCGGGAGCGGCCAAGAGGGGGGTGTCCAAAGGGGGGGGGGGGGGTGCAAGTCATGACCGGCGGCCCGTGCGCGGCCCAGCGGGGGGGGCCAGGGACGTCATGGAACAAGAAGAGGCGCCAGGACATCCGGGGAAATATCATGGCCCCCGCCATGCTATCCACCCCCTCCTAGTCATCAGCCCCCTCTTTGCCGCCCCCGACCACCTCCGCGCGCGCACGTCCGACTCTTGCCGGGCAGCCAACGGTTGTGTGGGCGTGCCAGCGCGGATTTGCGCTCAAGCACGAACGAGATGTCAGCGGTCTCGAGCCACCCCCATTCCAGGACTAGGAGTTCATGCAATGGCGAAATGCATCATCAAATTTGACTGGTTGGTCCAGCGAATCATCTCTGTTTTCTACGACCCTCTCCCCCTCTGAAGCACCTGCGCCTCCAGGGACAATGCAAAACACATTTTATGTTGCCCAAACAGTTTTTGTTCGAGTGAATTTCGCTCAGCCCAATCCAACCCGTCTTAAGTATTACCACGCGCACGAGGTATATTATGCCATAACATCATGTTCCAACAACCGATTGCAACAAACTGCACAACGTCCACACGCACGCGCATATATCAACATCATACCAACACACATTCCTTCTGCAACCTCTTCAACATCTATGCACAATGAGCATCACATGGTGCACGGCGAACTTGTTTTAATTGTATTGCCCGCGCGCACTTGCTGAATTCAAGGGATGGACAAATGATTTTAGCAATCCCGTGCAGAACTCTCATTCTCATCTCACCACGCGAGTCATCGGCGTTGATCTAGCATGCACCCCGTGCGCGAATCACGCGGGACTGACGAGATAATTCCAAGCCCGCTGGCTACCGAAACATTTCAAATACATTACTTCTGACACATATGAAAACTGTATTTTGTTGGAACATGTGTCCAGCTCTTACATTGTTGCGTGCGCACGTCCCCGCCGCAACACTCATCAGCGCCATTGCGTAACCTTTCGTCATCGCCAATCGCGGCCAGACGTCATTATCGTCATCCTTGTCTCCAGCATCGGCGCCGCCATTGGCCTTTCCGTCGCCGTCGTCATCATGGCCACCACCATTACTACGATCATGATCAGTGCCGCCATTGCCGGCGTCATCAGGATACCGCGCCCGCCCGAATCACCGACCCGCACTGAAGCGCCCAGGCGCAAGCGCGGCCCGTGGCACGCGCTGGGCAATTGCAACCGGTAAGCACCACCGCGGCCGCACTAGTTGTGCCAAACCGGCTGGTCGCCCTGCGCATGAGCGTTTGCGCGCCAGCGCGGCTGCAGAGCTGCGCCAGCAAGTGCCAAGCGGCAGCCCGAAATCGTGGCCGCATTGGTATTGCCAAACAAGTTACAAGTGGGAGGGTGGTATTATTGCGCGAACAGCGTACTTGACAACTTCAATCTTTACAAGGTGGATTGCGCCCCTACGTTGCACTAGGTCGAATGCGCCACGTAGTTTGCAACACATAGGTTGCGCTGATCACATAACTCGCACAACATATACTGTATCCGATATGTTGGTCCGCACCTGTATATCTCATAAAGGTATATATATATATGTATACATACAACACCACACACATTACACCCACTAGCAACATCGCACGTGTTGCACCATACAGGTTGCAACGCGCACAGTGCACAACACATTGTACCACATAGGCTGCACACCGATAGCGCAATAACCCATTGTTCGGGTCTACGCAACACACATAGATATACATATTTGTGTACGTGTATAACCATGTTCTAAACACGTTGAATGTAACACAAACATTGTGGGCACGCATTGTATACATATATAGATACAACCATGAAAGTATAGATGTGCGCGATTATGTCTAATACTATGTGGGTAACGTTGTATGTGGCATACAGCGTGTATGCATATAACTACATGTTCATGTATGTATGTATGTGAATATATATATATATATGTATATATACACATATATATATATGTATATATATATATATGTACAGGTCGTACTCAAAGGCGCACCAATCAGTCCGCACTAGGCAAGCAAACTCTGTGTAATCTGGCATTTCTGTACACACACCTAGATCTGTGCATACCTCTAAATCTGTATCAATTCAACTTGCCGTCGTTCGACTCACATCCTGATTATTCCGGTCATTTCCTTATTTCCCCTCCTATCTGAGGTACCATGCATCCTCCGCCGTTCCCTTCCCCAATCGTTCCCCATGCAGAAGCGGTGCGTGGCGCCGAACATGAGCAACATCTGGTGTATTAAGGGCACAAGCAGACCAGCCAGATGGAACGTCTTCCGCTCGATCTCCCTGGCCAAGGAATGGAACACTTGAGTGGTGGATTTAAATGGTAACACTCGTCGAACACAAACGCTGAAATCGAAGTCGTCGTCGTGACAGAACTGTATAGATATATAAATCATGTTGGCACTGCGAGCCAAGTGCGAAGGGTCGGGTTGGCGCAACAAACGTAGGTCACGGAGAACAGGACGGGCAGGGGTGGGGCCGGGCAAGGGTTGGGCAAGTATGATTCAGGGGAACGGCAGGCATGGCAGGGTAGAAGTGCCAGGGGCACGGCGAGCCCAATGAGCGCATGAAGCGCGAGCTGCACGCGCTACATCCAACATCGGATATACGTCATGGTGTCCAACGTGACGAAACTACATGTGGTACTATGCCTGGTCTCCCCTGATCACCCTGATCACTTGAGTCCCCCCTCACCGCACCTTTTCGTGCTTACTTCGTTCGCCTCTCAAACAAATTGAAATTTGCGGATCAGGTCTTTGGAACAAGAGGCTCGATGTTAATGATTGCCCCAGCTCCAGGCCCCTAGGGGTCGCTCATGGCGCCAAGGGCCTCCTTCCACATCGACGCACCCCGTCGAGTGCGCACTCGCACAGACGATCACCCTGCTCGCCACAAACAGCCGTCTGATCCAAAACATGTATATCTATGTTTGAATATACACGCTCACTTGTACTTAAGTTGCGTGAGTGTTTTTTTATGTATGGATGTATGTATGTATGTATGTATGTATGTATGTTTGTTTGTATGTATGTATGTATGTATGTATGTATGTATGTATGTGTATGTGTGTATGTATGTGTGTATGTATGGATGTACATATGTACACATGTATATCTATATAAATAAATAAATATATATATATACACAAGACTGCATTGGCGCTTCGCGCCATGCACCTTGGTCCTTGAAGTTTGGTACGCAGGCGGAATAGCAGGAAGGTCAAGCCGACAATTTAGCGATAACTCCTTGTTGCCTTTTCAGGCATCGCCGCTATAATATCATTATTGGTTATCCTTTCTCCATGCTTCTTTTTCCTCATGTTCGCCGTATCCTGCGCATTTTCCACATCCTCCTCAGCTCTTTTTTCTGGAGGCTCCTCCTTGGAGAGCCTCTGGGGGCCTCACAAAAGTTGTTTCAAGCTTTCTTAAAGCCTTCTGGAGGCCTCCTGGGCGTATTCTGGGGGTATCTGGGGGCTTCCTCGGGCCACCCTGCCTCCAACCGCGGTCTCCCTGAACGACCGGGTCACGATTTGGAATGCTTCGGGTGTCTTGGGGCCATCTTGGGCCGCCATATGGGGCTCTCTGAAGGCCATCTTGGACCCGTGTTGTGTTGTTTTGGGGCTCTCTTAGACTGCCTGGAAGCCCTTTCGGATGGTTGTGGGGCGATTTTGGAGCCTGCCAGGCGGCTTTGGACGCCCAGAAAACCGCCGTCTTGGAGCGTCGGAAGCCGAAAAGAGGAGAACCCCCAAACACACCAAAAACCAACAGAAACTCAATGATTTTTGCCTCTTGGGGCCTTCTTGGGAGTGCTCTTGGAGGCCTCTTTGGGGCCGTCCTGGAGGCCTCTTGGGCCATCTTGAGGTCACGTCGGTCACTCTTGGAGCGCTCTTGTGCTGTCTTGGGGGTTTCTCGGACGTCTCCGATGACCCCCCTGATCGCCCTAGGTGTGCTGGGAAAGCTTGGCAAAACGCCCTGCGAGGCCCGGGGGGCCGCTTCGAGGCCCGTCCGGAAGGTCCCAAAGCCCCAGATCCCGGGAGTCCGGTTTTTTTTGGGGGGTCCCCCCGCCCAGGCTTGTTAAAAAATAGGAAGAGGAATATGTGTGCGAGCGTGTGAGCGCGAATGTGAGTGTGTGTGTGTGTGCGCGCGGAACCCACTGCGGGTGCGTCTCTTCCACACTCAAGCTCCAATCAGTCCTCCTGCGCGCCAACTTTCGGCCTCACAACTTGCCCCCATCCACAATGCTAGGTGCAATTGGACATGACAGCTTGCATACCATTCCGTCACTCGCGATGGTGCCCTTACTTTGCTTGAGGGAAAAACGTGTATGTGTGTGTGTTATGTGTGTTGTGTGTTGAATGTTTTGTGTTGTGTGCTGTGTGTTGTGTGTGTTGTGTGTGTGTGTGTGTGTGTGTGTGTGCGTGTCGGGCGTTCCTAGTCGCGCACGCGCGTTCGCTGCTTTACGACTTTCTCCGCCCTGTCGCTGCGCCGCGCAGGGCTGCGACGCCAAAAGTGTGTGTATGTGTGTGTGTTTGTGTGTGGTGCGTGTGTGTTGTGCGTGTGTGTGGTGCGCGCGCGTGTGTGTGTGTGGTGCGTGTGTGTGTGTGTGTGTGTGTGTGTGTGTGTGTCTGTGTGTGTGGTGTGTATGTGTGCGTGTGTGTGTGTGTGTCGTGTGCTGTGCGTGCGTGTGCGTGCGTGTGTGTGTGTGTGTGTGTGTGTGTGCGTGCGTGCGTGCGTGCGTGCGTGCGTGCGTGCGTGCGTGCGTGCGTGCGTGCGTGCGTGTGTGTCGTGTGTTGTGCGTGTGTGTTGGTGCCTTGTGTGTGTTTGTGTGTGTGCTTGTGTGTTTGCGTCTGGACCCATTTCCCGGGAACGGTGCTGCATCCTCAACTGTTTTTTGACGGTCCCGAGACCTGGTTAGGCCCCCCACGGGCCGAAACTAGCGAAGAACCTCCCGTCGCGATTCTTTCACTACGCGAGGGGGTGCGCGGCGGGTTGCGCGGCGGGTTGAGCGGTGGCTCGCGCGACGGGCTGCGCGACGGCCCGCGCGGCGGCTGCGCGCTGCGCGGTGGGCTTCGCGGCGTGCTGTGCGATGGCTGCGCGCTGCGCGGTGGGTTTTGCGGGGTGACCGCCCCGGGGGCGGCCGCGGCCCGACCTGCAGCAGCCAGGACCCGTCGTTTGAAGTTCGGTCTGGGCAAGATGAAACCAGGACGAGGATGACATCGGGTGAGGATAGGTCGCCGAGGCACTTCTTGCGGTCGCCACCTTCCTCCTCCTCCCCCTCCCCCTCCTCCTCCTCCTCCTCCTCCTCCTCCTCCTCCTCCTCCTCCTCCTCCTCCTCCTACCCTGGGTCGCGCCGGAGGCGCGCCGAGGCACTTCTTGCGGTAGCCACTCTCCCTAAGACGAAGCCGTGACGAGGATCAAATCGGGCGAGGATAGATAGAGAATCTCTGAGATCCAGCGGCCCTGCAGGATGTATCGGGTGCCGCGGCCTTCTCAGAGCGTTCCGGAACGCTCTGGAACGGACTTGTCCTCGTCGTAGCCCCGTCCGATTGGGGCCCCCCTCTGGAAGAACCCAGAAGGCTGCCGCGGATTGGTGCTGCGCTGGGTTCGTGCAATGTTTCAGGGGCAGTCGGAATACGCTTTTGGGGGAATCGAAACCAAGCTGCCCGCTAGCAAGCACGCGAACACGGAGAGCATTCGAGAACAAACGCGTCAGAACATCGTGTGACTGCATCGGAGGCCGTGCGCAACAAGAGCACCACAATCGAGGAAGCTGCGAACTATTGAGAACGTGAGCCAGATCCAGGTGCAAGCATGGGTTCCCCACAGAGCTCGCCAATGCATGCCACGCCATAAGTCAAGCGTGGATCGCGGCACAGGGCTTCGGCATTCAACTTTAAGTCTGTGAGTGAGGGCCCTGCCAGCTGCACAGTTCGTGCTGCGTCGACCTTCTAGGGGGGCTCATTGGGCGCTGGCCACCTTTGCTGACTTGAGAAGCAACGATCATCACTGAAGGGGCCCTGGGACACACAAACAAAAGTACACACAAACAACCGTATTCCCCATCTGTTTCCAACGTTTTCGGGTGTTTTTGTCCTCCCCCCCACTGCCCATGTCTTCCCATATTTTCCCGGGAGTCGACGATTCATTGTGTCTGTGTGTTTCTTCCCCTCCTGAATCGCAGGCCCCCCTGCCAACCGTGCGCGAAGACGAACCGACTGGGCCTGCCTGGCCCTCGCGCCCTCGCGCCCTCGCCCCGCAGGAGAGGGCCGCCCCCCCCCCCCCCCGTCCGTGAGGTCTTCGCCACCTTGTCGATGGCAACCCCGGCCTGCTCCAAGAGCGTGGAGAGATCCTCGAGCTGGGACGACAGGGAGGCGGGAGGCACAGGGGGCAAGGAGGAGGAGGAGGAGGAGGAGGAGGAGGAGGAGGACGGAGGGACCAGGGAGGGAGGAGGGAGAGTGGATGGACGGAGGGAGGCGCAGGGATGAGCGGGGGCGGAACAGGGGGGCGGGTAGGCAGGCAAGACGCCGACGACTTGGGACTGCTGTCCGTGTTCTAAGGGTGGGCCTCCCTACCCCTAGGGAGGCTGAAAGTCTTGAGAAAAGGAGAGGGTCCCGTAGCCATTTTGGCTCAAGCCGCGTTTTTTCGAGGGCCAGAGTGGCCCACGACGCGCTCGAAGTCACTCTGGCGGCGTCCGCGCTCGATACTGGAAAAGATGGGCGGCATATCATCCCGCGATGTCTTCTTCTCTTGCTGCTTACCCCCCCCCCACGGCGCTCGGGATAGGGGCCGGGGAGGACGAGGGACGAGGGAAGACTGACGAGGGCGATCGCAGGACGAGAGAGCGAAGCTGTGCCACGCCTCTCCTTCGGCCGCAGGCTCTTGATGCGTATGATCAGCGCCAGGGCGGCGACGGAGAGCCCCACCTCCCCTCTCGGCACATCGCCAAGGGACTCCTCCCTCCCCTACTCCTGCTCCCGCACGATCTGCCCCAGGGCTGGACCTGAACGTTGTTTTGCGTTTCGTTCTCATTTTTGCTCTTTCGTTTTGCTCTACCTGTTTTCCTGCACCTCCCCGCTAAAACGAAACAGCAACAAAACACGGCCAAAGTCCAGCAAAACGGCGACTAGGTCCAGCCCTGATCTGCCCTCCTCCACGTCCGCCCCGCTCCCACGCCGGCAGCTCCTCCTGCGAGGCACTCCCTCTTCTGGCGGCCTCGGGGAGCTCGTCGGGAGCCTCTGGGAGCCGCTGGGGAACCCCCTGGAGGCCAGTGGAAGCTCCCTTCCTCCTGCTCATTCCTTCTCCTCCTCCCTTCTCCTGCTCCTCCTCTTGCTCCCTCCTCCTCCTCTTGCTCCTCCTCCTCCTCCTCCTCCTCCTCCTCCTCCTCTCCCTCCCCCTCCCCCTTCCTACTCCTCCTCCTCTTCCTCCTCCTCCTCCTCCTCCTCCTCTCCTTCTTCTTCTTCTTCTTCTTCTTCTTATTCGTCTTCTTCTTCTTCTTCTTCTTCTTCTTCTTAGTATTATTATTATTATGTTTCTTCTTTTTCCTCTTCTTCCTCTTCCTCCTCCGCAGTTGAACTGTCCACACATTGTCCCTGCCTTTGGCCTACCGCATGAACCCGTCAACCTTGCATTTGAGAGGAAAGGGGGTGATACATGCTGGTCCGACGTGCCTTAATACCTCGGGGTCTCGGCGAGACCCGCGCGGACACCTCTGGCCCACCCACCGTCCGCTCTGGGTCGCGATGCGCCCGTGCGGAGATCTTCGCGAGCAGGGGGGGGGAACACCCCCCCCGGGAGGCCACGCGCAGGAGCCAGCCAGGCCGAGAGAGGGGGGAGACGGTGCCGAGCCGCGCCGCGCCACAGCGGCCCATCCAGAGAGGGCCTCGGAGGGGCCCGCCCGAGCTCGCGCGGCGCCACTCCGCGGGCCCCTCGGGGTGCGCAGGGCCAGTGCCCTCCGCTCTCCCTCCGATCCCGTCTCCATCCTCGGTGCATCCGAGGGGCCCGCGGCCGACAGCAAAAACAAGCGGCGCCTGCGCGCGTAGGCGTGTCTCCTCTCTCTCTGCAGCCTCCATCCTCCACTCTGCATTCTGGCCTCTCTACTCTTTACTCTCCTCTGTGCTGTCGCTCTCTTCCTTCTGCGCCCAACAGTCTGTAGTGTGATGCATGTTCTCTGCTCTCTGCTATAGAAAGCATCGCCTATACTCTTTGTGACTTCTCTAATACTTATACTTCCGCTGCTCTCTGTGAAGTAGCTGCCCTCTCTGTCTCCAATTACTGATTATTACTCTTCTCTCTCTCTCACTACCTTCTCTACTATCGACGCTGGGAACTCGAGAACCCAACCGGTCACTGGACTGTGATCAGGGCTGAACCTGAACTGTGTTTTTCGGTTTCGTGTTGTTTTCGTTTTCCCCCGCTTTTGTATCCAATTCGCCTTTGCTGCAAAACGAAGTCGAAACGGAAACGGCCCACAAAATCACAAAAAACACCGTTTCGGTCCTGCCCTGACTGTGATGATCACTTGCACCAAAACCTTGAAATTACTCCGACGGAAGAACCCCACATAATAATCCTCTGGGCGAATCTGGAAAAAGCCATCACCGTCGTCCTCGTGGTTGGTGAGGCGTCCTGGCTGTCTCTTCTGCGTATATTTCCTCTCGCCTTGGCGCGGGCCCCCCTTCCACTCCTTACGTTGTCCCCATCCTCGCCCCCCTGTTTGTTCCGCGCCCCGCCACCTCCTCCCCTTCCTGTTGCATGAGCGCGCATGTCGATGTTCCTCGGCGCCGTCGCCGCCACGGCCAGCACAGGCGCGTTCTCTACTGGTCACGTCGCGCAGCCGTTGGGACAACCCCGCGGGCCAGGCTGTCGGGACAACCCCGCGAGCCGCTGGCGCGCAAGACCAAGCCGTTGGGACAACCCCGCGGGCTTCGAGCGAGGCGCAGCCGCGCTCAGGCGGAAGGCAGCACGAAGCCCAGCTCTGCCGCGAGCTGCTTCCAGAGGAAGCGCACAGGGGTGCGTCCCAGTGGATACGTGCCAGGGGCACGACCCAGAGGAAGCGCACAAGGGTGCGTCCCAGTGGGTACGTGCGGGGGCACGACCCAGAGGAAGCGCACAAGGGTGCGTCCCAGTGGATGCGTGCCGGGAATAGCGTTCTGGGAACACGACGAACACGAAGTGGCCTACAGTTGGCTCCTCGCAATTCACTCAGAGACGAGGCTCCCGCCTGAGACTTCCTCCAAATTCAAGCCTGAGGAGCCCAAAAACTTCCTTGTTGCGTCCAAAATGTGGCCTGGGAGCTGCGTTCTGGCAGCGCGAGAACCCAAAATTGACGACAGTTACAGGTTTTGGATGACCCGCTCGGATTACCAACATGATCTGCGGGCCCCATAGGGAGGGGGCTCCCGCCTGAGACTTCCTCGCAGTTCACTCACAGACGAGGCTCCCGCCTGAGACTTCCTCCATATTCAGGCTTGAGGAGCCCAAAAGTGACGACAGTTACAAGGTTCCGATGACCCGCTCGGATTACCAACATGATCTGCGGGCCCCATAGGGAGGGAGCTCCCGCCTGAGACTTCCTCACAATTCTCACAAACGAGGCTCCCGCCTGAGACTTCCTCCAAATTCAGGCTTGACGAGCCCAAAAGTGACGACAGTTACAGGTTCCGATGACCCGCTCGGATTACCAACATGATCTGCGGGCCCCATAGGGAGGGGGCTCCCGCCTGAGCCTTCCTCAGAATTCACTCACAGACGAGGCTCCCGCCTGAGACTTCCTCCAAATTCAGGCTTGAGGAGCCCAAAAGTGACGACAATTACAGGATTCCGATGACCCGCTCGGATTACCAACATGATCTGCGGGCCCCATAGGGAGGGAGCTCCCGCCTGAGACTTCCTCCCAATTCACTCACAAACGAGGCTCCCGCCTGAGACTTCCTCCAAATTCAGGCTTGACGAGTCCAAAAGTGACGACAGTTACAGGATCCCGATGACCCGCTCGGATTACCAACATGATCTGCGGGCCCCATAGGGAGGGGGCTCCCGCCTGAGCCTTCCTCAGAATTCACTCACAGACGAGGCTCCCGCCTGAGACTTCCTCCAAATTCAGGCTTGAGGAGCCCAAAAGTGACGACAGTTACAGGATTCCGATGACCCGCTCGGATTACCAACATGATCTGCGGGCCCCATAGGGAGGGAACTCCCGCCTGAGACTTCCTCCCAATTCACTCACAGACGAGGCTCCCGCCTGAGACTTCCTCCATTTTCAGGCCTGGGGAGCTCAAAAGTGACGACAGTTACAGGATCCCGATGACCCGCTCGGATTACCAACATGATCTGCGGGCCCCATAGGGAGGGGGCTCCCGCCTGAGACTTCCTCACAATTTACTCAACGATGATGAGGATGAGGATGATGAGTGGTGGTGAAGATGAGTGGTGAAGAGGATGATGATTGATTGTGAGTGGTGGTGGCGATGATGATGTTTGAATGAGGATGATGCCGATGCCGATGATGATGATGATGATGATGATGATGATGATGATGGTGATGATGATGATGATGATGTTCGTGAGCGTGTGAGAGAGTGCGAGTGATGATGATGATGATGATGATGAGTATGTGAGTGACTAAGCATGTGAGAGCATCATCGATGATGCTGATGAGGTTGATGATGAGAGAGTGTGAGTGAGTGTGAGTGGGTGTGTGTGTGTGTGTGTGTGTGTTCCTGTTCCTGCGCGGGGTGTCCAGAGAAAACAAGAACCCCACTTTGGATGTGGGGAACAAAGAACCTGGGAAACCAAGAACACGGCATCCCCGCCGCCTGCCGAAATCGGCGACTGCCCTTTTCAAAATCCAAACATTTTCCGTGAGGGTCCCGTCAACCCGAATAGTTTTCCAGGGGGGAGGTCCGTGGTTCATCATTAGCGCACTCTTGGGGCCTCCACGGCCTCGAGATCTACACTCCGTGGCCCCCAAGATGCCATCTCAGCTGGCTCAAGCAAGGCTCCAGCACGTCGAGGAGATCTCGAACACAATCCAAATGGTTCCATGGCTGCCAACGTGGCCTCCAAATTGTCCCAGCAAAGCTACTCCACAACAGCCCCCAAGAAGGGCCCCAAGAGACAAAAGTCGTCCGAACCCCTTAGGAAACGCATACTTTTAGCAGATTAATCTATTCAGTCATGGCGTCCAAAACGGCTCAAGAGGACCCCAACATCGCTCCAAGACGGCCCAAGGGACCCCGAAGAGTATTCCAAGACGGCTCAAGAAGCATCCAAGAGGGCCCCAAGACGGCCCCAGAAGTGCCCAAGACGGCCCAAGAAAGCCCCAACAAGGCAACAGGAGGTGCCCAAGAAGAGTAACTCGAACAGACATTTCGAGCCTTCCGTAGCCTTCCGTCCCAAGAGGAATCCAAGACCGCCAGTAGGCGTCCAACAACCCCCTACAGACGCCCCAAGAGGCCTCAAAAAGGCACCAACAAGATCCCCAAGATGCCCCCAAAGGCGTCACCCGTGGACTTGTTTTTCCTCACGGGGCTGGCGAACAGCGTCAGCCTCTTGAATCGGATTTTGAATCTTTCTTGTTCGTCCCATGCTTCGCTCCTGGGATGGCCTAAGACCGCACGCCCGAAGCTGCCGAAGACGGCCCCCCAAGCTCCCAACAGACCGCCAATATCGCCCAGGATGGCCCAACAGGACATCACAGATGGTCCCATACAGTTCCAGTGTTGCACAAACTGTCCCCCAAAAGGCCCGAGGGGTCCAAACATGCCCCAAACGGCCCAAGACGGCCCCCGAACTGCCAAATATGGCTCTGCCTCGGGGGCCTGCGACGGAGGGTGCGCAGCCGTCCAGATCCCCCAATCACTCCAGGCTGCGCCCCCCGAGAAGCAAGCGCCGGAGGGGTATCCGGTCCTCTGGGAGGTGGCCAGCCCCTGGCAGTTCCGAGAAGCCCTCAAGATCATGTCTCAACGAACGGACATGGTAGAATGATCTTTTTGGCAGCGTGGGCGCCCAGCTCCACACTTTCGGTGTGAACCCTACGTGGTGTACTATATATATACATATATATACATATATATACATATATATATATATAGATGTGTGTACAAATATATGTAAAAGTCAATGGTGCAATCCGCGTGATGGGCTGTGCGCAAGATTACTGACCCTGTAGGGTGCAGTCTTTGTGTCGCAAACTGCGTGGTGTAATCAACGTGATGCGGTTAGCTAACACCAGAATCGAACTGGGAACTCCACTGCCCGCGCACACATCCCAGCCTCCCACCCGCCTCTTCTTTTGCAAGACCCATGCGGCCGCGATTGCGGTGACTGCTTGGCACTGGCTGGTGCATCTCTGCGGCCGCGCTGGCGATCGCAGACTCGCGCGTAGAACGGTCAACTGGTTCGGCACAACTGACGCGGCCGCGCTGGCGCGTGCCGGTAAGATCTTCCCAACGCGTCTTAGAAGCCGCGCTGGCGCGCGGGCATTTCCGTGCGGGTCAGTATCCGGGCGGGCGCGGTGTCATGATAACATCGACGACGGCGGCAAGGATGATGATACTAGCGATGGTGGTGGCAATGATGATGACGGCGGCGGCAAAGCCAACGACGACACCAATGCTGGTGATGACGTTGACAATGATGTCCATGTGTCCGTGTTGAAGCTAATTGACTGAAGATGACGGCTGTGGCGGCTGTTGGCGAGGGCTCGATGACGAAAGCGGCGGTGATGTGATGGCGCGCACGAGGGCGATAGTAAGGAAGTGCGCGCGCGCAGACATTCAAGAACTACGTGAATTCTGTATTGGACAGCGTTGTGCTGTTGTTTGAAGAGCTCGCCTCAATTTGCCTCGAGGACCAGTGATTTTGGAAAGGGTGTCTGGACGAGCGCGTGGCGGCACGCGCGTGCCTCGCTTGGTATTATGATGCGATGCGGCGTCGTGCACTGGGCGAAGTCTAAATCCACGCATGTGCACCGCCTGCTGCGGTGAGCCTGCGGATGCTGGACGATACAGTCGGGGCGTTGACCTAAGGAACCCTAAGTAAGGAACGGGGCCCCTTTTTTTCCATAAGTTGAACTTCGATTTCCGATCGAAAACATAAGGAAAGCCTGAGGCAAGCTGTGAAACACTTAGGGAACGCGGAGGCCCTCCCCAACAAAAAGGGTTCCTTCTTCAGGGCCCCGACGATATTCCCACATGCATATGGTCTTCGTGTGCTTACAACGAATGCGCGCGGGCAAAGCACACGAAAAGCTTGTCGTGCCACACCACTTCATCAAACAGATCATCACTGAACTTGCCTGCACGACTCACGTGTCTGGTCCAATTTCGGCATGTGCGCGGGCGTGCTGACTTTGTGGTATCAATTTGGATTTGGAAAGGAGTCGTGCAACACGATCCTTCGCGACACACGGCTGCGCGAACATGCTATTGGTTGAAAAAAAGATGGGTGGGGGGGTCGATATCGGCCTGGCTGGGATGGTCTGGTTTGTTGTGCAGAGTGAACGTAACCAAATGTAGTTTATAACGTCCCCCTGGTAATCGATACGTCCTGGCTCGGGGAACTATTCGGCGCTATTCTCTTTTTGAAAGGGGAACGGATGTCGTGTAAGCCATGACGAACAAACTATGTGCCCCAGTCGATGGGACGGAATACTTGTTGTACGTTGTGAAGTGTGAGCTCCACTGTTCGCGCAAACGCCCCACCCTCCTACCCGCAACTTGTTTTGCACATGGCGGCAACGATGCTGGTAACGACGATGAGCCGCAACTTGTTTTGAACAACCCATGCTGTCACGACTGCGGATGTGCTTAGCGCTGGCTGGCGCATCTCTGCGGCCGCGCTGGCATGCGCAAACTCGCGCAAGCTCGCGCGGAGAGCGGCAACCTGGTTTAGATGCGGCCGCGATGGCGCCTGCCAAGAAGAACTTCCCAATGCGTCGCAAAAACCGCGCTATCGCGCGGACACTTCCGTGCGGGTTAGTGGCACGGGTTGGTGCGGTGTCCTGATGGCTTCGACAACGATGGTGAAAGTAACGATGGTGGTGGCGACGCTGACGATGACAGCGGCAATGCCAATGACGGCGCCGATGCTGATGACGGCGATGACGATGAAGATGTCCATATGTCAGTGCTGAGGGTAATTGACTGATGTTGGCGGCAATGGCGGCGGTTGAAGACAACGATACCAGCGGTGATGCGATGGCGCTGGTGAGGGTGATGGTGATGAAGTGCGTGCGCAACCATCCAAGAAATCTAGCAGACTTGTTTGGTTGTTGCCACATGTTTTTGAAGAGTTCGATCCTGGATTGCTTCAGGAACCAATGGTTTTAGGACGATTTCGACACGTATGGCCTGCATGATCTGATTTGATACGGATTCGTGCGCTGGGCGCATGCTGGATCAACGCGGATGCACCGCGTGGTGAGTTGAGACTGCGGATTCTGGACGAGGTTACTAAAATCGTACGGTCTTCATATGATTCCAGCACGTGCGCGCAGGCAGAACATGTACAACAAGTGTGCTGAACCACCTCAAGTTGCTCGATGTGCTTATGTTGAGGCGCTTGCAGAACTCATATATCCCGTGTGATTTCGACATGTGCGCGCGCGTACGGCCTACGTGAAGATTTCTGCAAGAGAATCCCGAGTCATTATCTTTGAGATAAACGAGTGTGCGCGCATGGGATTGTTTGCTAAAGATGACAGGGCGGGTATCGCTACCGCTTGGGTTGGGATGGTATGAGTTCATATGGCAAACGTGCGACGACGAAGCATAAATATATCTTATATATAATGTCCCAGGGGGAACGGACAAGTCTGGGCTCATAAGGGGGCGATCTCGTTATTCATTTGAAATGAGAATATGTTGTGCAAGATATGTGGTGCAAACTGTGTGGTGTATTCGTTTTTTGTTTCCCCCTTGTTTGTCCTGCGCTAGTTTCGGGAAGAGAGAGGTCGAGGAAATACGGAGACCGGGACTGAACACATTCCTATAGTCCCACCCTATAGAAACCAAACATGTTCTACGAACGGAAAACAATGTTCTTAGAACATAAGCCCGATGTGTTAAAACAAAACAGACCCCACCAGAAATGTTGTAAGAACATTTCGTGAAAACCACAAAAAAGGTTCTTAGAACATGGTTTGGTAGGGCTACAAGCGCGCCAGGACGCTTCGCCACTGCTTGAATGAAAGAAAGAAGGCCCAACCCTTTTCCCAGGGCCGATTCTTCAGCCCGAGCTGCTGCCTGATGGTCCCAGGATCCGGCGAGGGCCCCCAGAAGGGCGGCTCCGCGCGCCGCGCCACGAGGCCGAAGCCCGGAGAGAACCCCGGCCAGAGCACGCGGCCGCACGCGCTTCCACGGGGCGAGGCCAGAAAGAGGCAGCGCACCGGGGCTTCGAACGATGCCCACCCACAAGCGAGCGGTGGGATGCCGGATGAGCCCCGGCACGCGTGGGCCTGGCGCCCGCGGTATGCAGGGTGTGCGTGGCGGGTCGGGATGTGGTTTTCCTTATGTCTTTGCGAGTCTAGCAATCCCAACCTGCCGGTTGGGGAATCAGAACGACTACTGCAACCATCGTCTTGGGAGTTCAAACTCCAGCCTGGCCCAGGATAGATACTAGCAACACCGCCGATAAGCACACCATTTTCTGGGCGGTGCCGAAGGCCGCACGATCAATCAACAAACTCCCAAAAACTTTGGCAACCAAACGGGTCCCGATGTCCTGCGGCACTCCGACACCGGCAGAAGCGGACAAGACGGCCCAACTCACATTTTGCAGCGACGCATGTCTCTCTCATCTCTCCCGGCGTCGTCCTTCCTCTGCCTGTGTCCATGCTCGCGTTCATCCTTGTTGTCTGCTTCAGCGAGCGAAGAACGGTATAAAATAAACTGTTTCGCTGTCGGGGGCGCCTGCCTGTCCCTGGGCGGCTGGAAAGTTTATACCCCTACGGTGCCACCGTAAGGGTATAAACTTTCCAGCCGCCCTGGGGCAGGTGTCCCCGACGGCGAAAAAGTTAATTTTATACTGTTCTTCGCCCGTTAACTGCTGTCCCCCCCCGTCCATATAGGCTGTCAAGAACGACTCCGAGACAGGATCATCTTGCGTGGCAGCCCAGACTTTGCCTCGGCAGGCAAAAGACTCGAGTCACACCGGGGCCCGTGAGCCGAATGCTCCAAGCGAGGTGAACGAAGCCTGCTCCCTCACTTCCCTCCTCCTCCACCAACTCTTTCTCCTTCTCCTCCATCCTCCTCCATCCTCCATCTCCTCCTGCCTCTCCTCCTCCTCCTCCTCCTCCTCCTCCTTCTCCCGTGCCCTCGCCCAGGAAGAGATGGCAGGGAAGGTGGCGAGACACCAGGGCACAGCTGTCTGATCTTCTGTCCCCTCCGGGTCCGCAGCGTTTGGGCACGGGCGATGCGCCCCACGGGGCTGGGCTTCCTGCGTCATCGCAGATGAAGGAAACGAGGGGGAGGAGGGACAGGGGGGAGGATGGGGAGTGGAAACATCAGGTGGATAAAGAGCAGGGTGAGCAGGGGAAGGAGGCGGGAGGAGGAGGGACGAGGAGGCCGATGGGCTGGACGGGGAAGCTGCGATGGCCAGGAGGACAAAGATGCTGGGGAGAAGTGTAATGACGATGAGGACGAGAGGTGGAGGGGACGAATGAGGGTGATGAGGAGGAGGGGGAGGGAGGATGATAAGATGGAGGAGGAGGAGGAGGAGGAGGAGGAGGAGGAGGAGGAGGAGGAGGAGGAGGAGGAGAGGAGGAGGCGGACGAGCAGCGATCTCGGCCTCGAGCTGCGGGAGGGGCCGCCGGGGCCTCGTGCACCCCGCAGGGACGGCTGGCTGCCCCCCGCGCCCGGGCAGGCGCCCCGCCACGGGGCCGGGCCGCTCCGCGGGCACCGTGCGCAGCGCCACCGCGCCTCTTCGCCGCGGGCCCGCGGGAAAAACGGGACTCGGGCCGGCCGCTCGTCTTGGGCGCCCGAGTTATCCGGGGTAACTCGGGTCCGGGGTAACTCGGGTTTGGGTTCCCGAAAAAGGAACCCGAGTTATCCCTGACCCGAGTTACCCCTGATGATTCGGGGCTCTGGACGCCCGAATTATCCGGGGTAACTCGGGTCCGGGGTTACTCGGGTTCGGATTCCCGACAAACGAACCCGAGTTATCCCTGACCCGAGTTACCCCTGATGACTCGGGGCTCTGATCGTCAGATCTCCTTCGTTTGAGCAGGGGCCGACCGTCCCGGCATCCCTATAGTCCTACCACGAACTGCTCTTAGAACCCCGAAATGTTCTAAGAACAAAAACAGGGTTCTCAGAACATGAGCCCGACGTGTTCAAACAAGACAGACTCCGCCAGAAATGTTCCAAGAACATGTCGTGGAAGCCGCAGAAGGCTCTTAGAACATTGTTTGGTAGGGCTATAGGCGAGCCAGGACGCTTCGCCACTGCTTGATTCGTGGCCTCGGAAGTCCTGTGGAGCGTCAGGCCGCAAGGATGTGGCACGGCTTCGAATGCCGTCGCGGTGCAGCCAGGGAGGGCAGTGCACACTGCGGAGAGGGTGCTCTCCGCTTCCTCTTCTGCCCTCTCCTGCTGCTGCTGCTGAGGCCACCCCCAACGTCCTCATTCATCAATTCTTCGCCTCGGTTCTGGTGCATGGCGTTCGGCTCTGCCGACCCGGGGCTGGCAGGAACGCCCGTTGGCCGGGAGCGGGTATCGCGCCCACTCCCCGACAAGTTCTCTCACGCCTAGGTTCGGGCTTTGCTCCAGACATGCCAGCCTTCGAGCAGTATCGGTGCGCGCGCCGAATGGTGTGCGAGTGGCTTTTTGTTGTGCTTATGTCGTGTATTTTTCGGGCGCGCCACGCCCTCCACCGCCTCCACCTCCGCCTCCTCCTCTTCCCCTCCCCTCCATCCCCCTCCATCCCCCTCCTCCTCCTCCTCCTCCTCCTCCTCCTCCTCCTCCTCCTCCTCCTCCTCCTCCTCCTCCTCCTCTCGATCACCCTCCCCCTCAATCATCCCAGATCCTCTTCCTCCTCCTCCTCCTCCTTCATCCTCTTTCCTCGTAGGCAGACCTTCCCTGCCCCCCTTGTTTTCCGATTGCGCATAGCAAGCTGGTGTCTCTGTGGGGGTCCCAAGTTCGCCATGACACCCGTCGGAGGATCGCGGAAACAATTTCGCAATGCGAAGGGATGGGTGTGAGGGGGTATGATTGCAGATATGGCGCGAGCGCACATGTTTATTTCCGTCCCCCATCCTCTCTCCTCTCTCCTCCTCCTTCCCCCCTCCCCCTCCTCCCAGTCCTCTCTCCTTTCTCCATTCCTTCTTCTCTCGTCCTCCTCCGCCTCCTCATTCTCCTCCTTCTTCCGCAGAGCCCGAGCCCTTGCTGGGTAGGCAGCTTGCCACTTGCACGTTGCACTGTCCGTGCCGCCTCTTCAAAGGCGAGTGTCCCAGCAATATGCGAAGAGGCACTTCCAGATCCAACTGTGCCGCCCATGCCACAGGCGCGGTCTGCGCTGCTCGCGTGTGGTGCTCGCCTCATATGCAAACTCCCGATGCGCAGGAGTCTCGCCAGCTCCCTCCGTCTGTGCGCACCATAGAGTCAACTCCTTCCGCCGCTGGTGCCGCAGAGCAGCCTCGGCATCATGGCTTGCCCTCACCTCCCGCTCCTCCATCCCCTCGTGGTCGGAGTTCGACAGAGCTGTGCCCTGACCGATGCGCTCTTGCGGTGCCTGGAGAGGGCGACTGGCCCAGCTCCTCTCTTGTGTGCCCGCCTGGCGCTCTGACTGCGCGGCGGCCGCCACCACTTTGGTGGCCTCTCCCCGGATCGGCTGCGAGCGAGGGGGGCGACCTCCCCCCGTTCCCCTCCCCCCCCCCAGCGCGGGCAAACGACGACGACGACGGCGACGACGTGTTCCGCCCGCCCGCCCGACCGACTCGCCCACGAAGACGATGTGTCCAACGCCCCCTCCCCGAGAGGGGGCCTCGAACGCCCCCCCCCTCCCCTCCCCAAGGGGGGGGCTCGAACGCCCTCCCCCCCGCAACGCCGTGAAACGACGACGACGACGACGACGACGACGACGACGACGACGACGACGACGACGACGACGACGACGACGACGACAAGGAAGACCACGACGAGGAGGAGGCCTCCTCGGAAGGTTCGAGACCGCCCGGCCCTCCGAGAAGTGCTCGATAACAGGGGATATGTCGACCCCTATCCCAGGCTCCGTGAGGTTTTCGAGAGGATCAACAATTTGGGGCCCAACCCTGGGATATACGAGGGGGGGGCGTCCATCCTCGACAGGGGTGCGTCCGAATAGCCCCCTCGGGATGTATCCCAAGATTCCTCCCCTTTTCTGAGCGACCAAACTTTTCTGGCGGAAGTCGGGGATTGGGGGAGAGAAATCGCCTGCGATGCTCTGCGCCCCCCCCAAAGAAGACCAGCAGACGCTCCTGCCCAGAGGCGCGAGGGCCTCCGAGCAGCCTCGCCGCCCTCCAGTGCTGCCCCCGCTCCTCCCGAGGAGGCCCTCGCGCGCCGAGGCCCTCGCGGAGCCCCCGCGGAGCCCCCGCGGAGCCCTCGCGCGCGCGGCCCTCGCGCCCTCGCCGCGAAGGCCGCGGAGCGTCGTCGTCGTCGTCGTCGTCGTCGTCGTCGTCGTCGTCGTCGTCGTCATCGTCGTCGTCGTCGTCGTCGTCGTCGTCGTCGTCGTCGTCGCCGTGCCCGGGAACTGGTTTGACACCAGTGGGCCCCGAGACAGCGGCACTTATAGCGGCACCTTAGCGGCACCTTAGCGGCGCGCGCCTCGGTGCCCCGCGGGGTGGGCGAGGCGAGGGCGCGGTCCCGCCCTTGGCCCACTTTTGCTCGCTCTCTCCTCCCTCCTCCTCCTCCTCCTCCTCCTCCTCCTCCTCCTCCTCCTCCTCCTCCTCCTCTCCGCCTCCTCCTCCTCCTCTCCGCCTCCTCTCCCTCCTCCTCCTCCTCCCCCCCCCCCGGCCCCTCCTTCTCCTCCCTCCTCCTCCTCCTCCTCCTCCTCCTCCTCCTCCTCCCCTTCTTCCTCTCCTCCTCCTCCTTTCCTCTCGTCCTTCTCCTCCTCTTCCTCCTCCTCCTCCTCCTCCTCCTCCTCCTCCTCATGCTCCTCCTCTCCTCCTCCTCCTCCAACTCCTTCTCTCCTCCTCCTCCTCCCTCCTCCTCCTCCTTCCCCTCCCTCCCCCGCCTCCTCCTCCTCCTCCTCCTCCTTCCCTTCTCCTCCTCCTCCTGCTTTCCTCGTCCTTCTCCTCCTCTTCCTCCTCCTCCCTTCCTCCTCCTCCTCCTCCTCCTCCTCCTACAACTCCTTCCCTTCCTCCCCCTCCTCCTCCTTCCTCCTCCTCCCGCGCCTCGTCCTCCCGCTACCCCTCCTGCTCTCCACCATCTGCTTGGGCCCCTTCTGGGAGGCCTGGAACTGGGGAAACCAAAAGGTAACCATACCGCTACAATAGGGGCCCGAACACAAGAAACCTTTCACAAGAAACCCAACCCCCTGAGATCTCAGGAAGTCCATTGATGTTTGGTTTGGGGGCGTCACGCTTTCCATAACAAAACCATCGAAACCCGAGAACCTCAGGGCACCCTGGAGGCAAGCAGGGTGTTTCGTGGCATGGGTCTCCACTGTACTCCCTGGACCTCTCCTGGGGTGCACTCTGACCCGAATTTCGAGGCGAGTCCAGCGGTAGCGACGAGGGCCTCCCAGGAGGCCCCAAAACAGACGAAAACGCGGCGAGGGCAGCGGCGTCGGTACCTTCTTCCTCCTCTGAGGACCGGCGCCGCGCAGAGGGGGGCATGGGGGAGGGGGGAAGGCTTCCTAGAAGGGGGCGGCCTCACAGAAGGCGCCCCGCCTCACACGTATGGAGAAGACCCGCGCCTCCTGAGAGGCAGGGGTGCTCCTAAGAAGCCTTCCCACCCCCTCCCCCTGCCCCCCCTCTGCGCGTGGCCGAGAGGCACCCGGCACCCCCTCCCGCTCCGCCCCCCCCCCTGGGAGGCCCCGACGTGCGCGCCCCGCGACGGGGCGGGGCACGTGCCGTGGTGGCCTCGAGCGCGGGCCCCGCCCTCCCTGGTGAGCGGTTTCGGATGCGGCGCTTCGCCACTGGGCGTAAGTCGGGCGTGCCCCCCTGCAGGGGGGATTTTGGAAGAAAAATAAAGCATACCCCCAAAATGCTCCCAAATGGTAAAAAAGAAACTCAAAAAATAGTCCCCGGACTATTTTTTGACTATTCTTGAAGATTCCCCCCGGTAGAGGGACAGGCCCGACTTTTAACATTGGGCGGAAAGGGGGGCGGATCGGCGGTGGAGAAACCTCCTGTTAGTGAACCACCCTTGAGCGCAAACGGCCTAGGACCGAAACCGGCGGACCTGGACCCGCAGAAGTGACGGCCGCGACGCCCTCTCGCGAACCGACGACGGCCAATTCGCGAATCGTCGTGTCAGGGTAGGAGGTCCATCAACCTCCGAGGGGAGGGGGGCGGTCTAGCTCCGGACCTCTGCTGAACGCGACCGTCTGTCGGCAGCAGCGCGGCCTATGGGAGAGGCTCCACCCGCTCGAAGCACGCGCCCAACACGGCCAAGATCGTCTCCATGGGGGGGGGAGGGGGCGTGCGAGGGCCCGCGCCGCTCGGCAGAACGATGCATACTTTTTTGATCTGCAGGGCGAGAGCCTCTTCCGCTAAAAGCTCTGCGGGACGCGCACAGCTTTAATTGGCAGAGATGGGGCGGGAGCAGGCGGGGCCTCACGCGGCCAGAGGCGGGCGAAGCCCGGGGATCAGGCGGTACCGAACGGGACGTGCAGAGAACGATGCATACAATAGGGGCTCGACCACAAGGAGCCTTCCACAAGAAACCCAACGGGTACGGAAAGAGTGGGCACAATGCTCAACAACAAATGCTGTCCCAAACCAGCAGCGGCCGCTGTTGGGCAGGCGGCCTTCTGTCTCGAATGGACACAGGCCGCGGCGGCGCGGACCGCGAGTCCCGTTCAAAATGAACAGGAACCTCTGTCGAGGATTGTACCCGTTCTTTCCGTGCCCATCTCGATCGTGCAGACCCGAGACCCCGAGACTTGGTGGTCTCCAAACCAGGTGGTGAGACACCCGGTGGTGATCCCGATTCCCCAAAGAAATAATTCTGGGTCGCCACTGGGTTTGGGGACACGCGGTCGCCACGAGGTTTTGCGTTTCCTGGGCCAGCCAGCGCTCGAAAACCATTATCCAAATCGCCCAAAACTCACCACCAGGTGCTCTCACCACCACGATTGGGGACCACCAAGAGACCCCAGGACGCCCGTCGATCCCCGGTGTGGGGAGCACCGCGAGCCTCCATCGCGGAGGCCACCGGAGCCCGAGGAGACCAGGGGCGGGCACCCTGGAGGCAAGCAGGGCGCGCCGCGGCGTGGGCCTCCGCTGCAAGACTGAAGGGGCCCCAGGACTCACAAATAAATACACACAGATAAAAATAGTCCCCTATATTTTCCCATATTTTCTGGCTTTTTGTCTTCCCCCCACTTCCCATAGTTTCCCATATTTTCCGGGGAATCGACGATCAATTGTGTCTGTGTGTTTTTTTCTCCCCTCCTGAAAGACAGCGATCCCCCGGGGGGGGGGGGAGGGGGGGGCCTGCCTCGGCTCGCGCGGTGCCGGGGCTGCCGCACGGGCTGCAGCAGTCGCCCCCGCCCCCCCCCTGACCTTCCAGGAGGGCTAAAAAATCGCACCCGACTTAAAAGCCTATCCCAGAGCTATTCTACGTCTTGGTTGTAGGCTGTTTCGCTCAGCTTTTTAGGTTTTTAGGTCTCCACTGCTAAAAAAATAGCTCTCTGGAAGGTCAGGGCCCCTGCGCCCCATAGACGGCCAAGAGGCCTCCAAGAGGCCTCCAGGAGGCCCTCCAGGCTTCTGTGGCCCCAAAGGCAGTATTCCAGAAGTCATTCCGAGCACCCAGCAAAAGTACCGACGCAGTGACGGACGAGCATCGCCTCCCAGGGCCCGACACGTGAACACCCTCCAGGTTTCGGCACTTTCTGGGTGCTCGAACTTCTCTCTGGTGACTCACTCAGGCTGCAGTAGGTTGGAACTTCACAACTCCAGGTGAATGTTTTCTTCTTCGGCGTTTCCGCATTGGGCGGCATGGAATTGGGAGGGGGGGTCTGGCTCCGGGCCTTTGCTCTTCTCGACTGTTTGCACCAGTGCGTCCTGTACGGGAGGGGCTCCACCTACCTGAAGCAGGCGCCAAAAAACGGCTACTTCATGGGGGGGGAGGGGAGGAGGAGGAGGAGGGGGAGGAGGAGGAGGAGGAGAAGGAGGAACGAGGAGGAACGAGGAGGAGCGAGGAGGAACGAGGAGGAGTGAGGAGGAGGAGGAGGAGGAGGAGGACGAGAAAGAGGAGGAGGAGGAGGAGGAGGAGGAGGAGGGGGGGGGCGAGGGTCCGCGCCGATCGGCAAAACACTGAAAAAAAAACGGGCGCCAAGCAGGCCCGAGGAGGCCAGTCATTATTTTTCCGTGGGTTCCTGCAAGAGTCTGGCATTTGTTTCCGAGCGGCCTTCCGACGGCCCAAGATGGCCCAAGAGGCCCGGGGAGTGCGGACGATCAGACTTCCTCCGCCTCCTCCTCCTCCTCACCCATCACCCCGCGTGGATCCGCGGCGTTGAAGTCCCAGGAACGGCATTTTGGCACGATCGAGGCGTCTCGGACGCTGGTATTCGAAAGGGCCACTTCCCGCAATGAAGCCGACTTCTGGCAGGGACCCCGTGCAGAGGGAACTCGGAGGCAGGGTCTGTTGCCAAGTCGTTGACGTCCGACCCCTAGCAAACCATCTCCTTTCGTGGCGTTATTGAGGGGGCCATGGGACACACACATAAATACACACAAATAACAGGATGTCCTATGTTTTCCGATATTTTCTGGGGCTTTGTCTTCCCCCTAAATTCCCATATTTTCTAGCGAATTGGCGATTAATTGTGTCTATGTGTTTTTCCCCTCCTGAGTCATCCTCGCCTTTTGAAGCTTCACTCCGGCCGCCACGCACACGTCTCGGGGCCAGGCGAGAGGACGGGGACCTGCGAAGCTCAGACCCCGCATGGCGGAGCGCCGGACAGCCTTTGAAACACGCTCTCGAGAGAGCTGCGGAAGCTCCTGAAAGGAGCTTCCCAAGTTTGGAGGCCAGGGGGTTGCCTCCACAGGGGGAAGATGCTCCTAGATTTCGGTGTTGGTGGCAATATTTCGGCCACCTTGGAAGCCAGAATATTACCACCATCACCGAGATCGGGATCGTCTTCCCTCGGTGGAGGCACACCGCCGATCTTGGTGTTGGTGTCAACCTCTAGGCCTGCGAGAAGGAGTTTCTGGAGCGCGTTTCTGCATTCTCGGCGACAATGGGCACTATAGTGGGGGGGAGGGGTGGAAAGGCCAGGGAGGTGGTATAATGTAGCGCCTCCTCCCCGCCGTGCGCACGGCGGCAGTGCCTGGAGCGCACTGGGGGTGGGGAGGGGCGTTACGTTATAGGGGGGGGGAAGGGGGGCCGGGGGCTATCATGCCCATTATGCCCCAAGCAACACAGAAACACGCTCGTGGAGAGCTTCTGGGCACACGCTTTGGGAAACGCTCGGACAAAGCCTGCTGGGACCCGCGGCAAACTCAGGCAAAAGTGCGCCGAGGTGTTTCCACGGGAGCCGGAACGAGGTCTGCAGGGCTACCCTGCGAAGCCGGCTTCAAACTTTCACAACCCTATACAGCTCTCCAAGGCGCTATCCGGGAATGGTTTGCTATGGGTCGGTTGGGCCCCCTCCTCCTCCTCCTTCCCTCCTCCTCCTCCTCCCCCTCCTCCTCCTCCCCTCCTCCTCCTCCTCCTCCTCCTCCTCCTCCTCCTCCTCCACCTCCTCCTCCTCCTCCTCCTCCTTCCTCCTCCCCCCCCTCCTCCTCCTCCTCCTCCTCCTCCTCCTCTCTCCCCTCCTCCTCTTCCTCCTCCTCTCCTCCTCCTCCTCCTCCTCCTCCCCTCCTCCTCCTCCTCCTCCTCCTCCTACCTCCCTCCTCCCTCTCCCTCCTCCCTCCTCCTCCTCCCTCCTCCTCCTCCTCCTCCTCCTCCTCCTCCTCCTCCTCGTCTTCTTCTTCCTCCTCGTCTTCTTCTCCCTCCGCCTCCGCGCCCTGCCGCCAGTCGACCTCCCGGGCTGGGGCCGAGCCGCCGGCAGTACGGCCTGCTCGCCATCGCGGGGCGGGCGCGCGGGCCGGGCCGCGGCAGCTGTACGCCGTGCTGCGCAAATGCTAACAAATGCTTCAAGTAAGGGACCCTGAAAGAACGGGGCCTTAAGGAAGAAATTAAATTTTAAGGACTACTGATCCCGCTTAGGCGGCCATATGCCGGACTCTGTCAGATTCGGCCCAATAAGCCAGGTTATGCGGGATTGAGCAAGGGTAAGCTGGACTGAACGGGATTTAGGCCAGGTTGGGCCAGATGAGGTTGGTTTTCGACCACGGATCTTCCACTGCCGATGCTGAACCGAACCTCCCAAGAACTGCATCCGAAACGAGGGGCCCCAAACCGTGTAAATCCGACATGGGGTCCCTTCCTGGGCCCCCTCTCTGAACCGCCGACGTCCCCTCTGAAGGGGGACGGACGCAAAGGGGGGCATAGCAAAAGGGTGGGTGGGTCTGGGAAGAGCTGCACGCAGCAGACTTCGCTATCCACCTCCTTCCCACTCCCCCCCTCTCGTCAGACCCGGCCCTCCCTCGCCCCTGCAGGGCAAGGGGCGGAGAGGGTGGGGTGGAAAGGATCGGAGCAGAGGTCGTTGCGAGGGTCTGCTGCCCACACCCACCACGTCCCCCTCTCGTCGCCGCCTCAGGGCACGTTGAGCCTGGCGCGCAGCGAGGAGCGCGCCCTCTTTCAGAATAGCATCTGCTCCAACACTGCAAACCTGTGAGGTTCCAGCACTAGTGGTAAGTCGGGCCTGTCCCCCTACAGGGGGATTTTCGACGAAAAATTAAACATACCCCCAAAATAATCAAACAAATATTACAAAAATAGTCTGGGGACTATTTTCTGAGTATTTCTTTACCTTTTTGGGGTATTGTTGGGGTATTTTTAGTTTTTCGTAGAAAATTCCCCTGTAGGGGGACACGCCCGACTTAACACTAGTGTACTGTGCTCCTGCTCGTGCTGGGAGGGGATGTAGGCGCGTGTGCCTCCCCTTCGCCTCTCCAGCAAGGAAGGCCGAAGACCCCCTCCCTCCGACCCCTTCCCGCCGAGAAGGCGAGACAGGGGAGGGAGAGAGCGCAGAGTAGGGCGACGAAATCTATACATATCCACTGCTCCCTGGCCAGGCCCATCCTCAACCCCGCAGCGGTGTATACGCCACGCCCTCCTGGCTTGGCCAGGAGGGCGCATACACAGCTCCTGGGTTCAAGATGGGCATGGTCAGGGAGCAGTGGAGATGTATAGATTTCGTCGCCCGACAGAGGAGAGAACGAGGAGGAGACGCCGTGCTCCCAGCCCGGGCCCAGCTATCACGCGATCGCCAACTGTGCGAGACAGACGGAGCACGATGACCAGCACTGAGCAAACGGCCCCGTCCAGGGTAGCCCGAACGACCCCGCACGTGGCCCTCCCCGCCCTCCCCGCGCTCCTGCTCCCCCTCCCCCAACCTCCCCCTACAAACGCCAGAAACGTGAGCTCCCCGGTGCTCCTGCTCCCCATATCCGCTCCCTGACAGAAGCGCTCCGAAACATGTGCAATGCCCACGGTTAGCTCGGTCTCAGACCAGGAGTAACGAGGCAGAGGGGTCCCGTTGATAACTGGAGCTCCATATTTGGCATTTCGGGGTCACGCACTGTACCATGCAGACGCCTCATCGGCAAGTCGGACCTTGCTACGCCCGTCCTGGAAGAG